TCTGATAAGGGATTGCGCAGGACCGAGGCCGATTTGGCCATCAATATCCGCAAGGCCACCAGCATCGGTAAGTCGTTAATCGGGGATGAGACCGAGACGGGAGAGCGGACATGACGAACTGACAATTGACAACCAACAGAGGAAACCGCTCCTAAACGTATGTCCTGATCATATTCCATTGTCCCCCATCAAACCGATTGATGCCGCCTCGGCTTTGCCCCGTCCGAATTGAACTGACCACCCCCCGCGCCTGTAGGGAAACATGTGCGGAGCTGCATCGTCTATACATGGGACCACAAGTCATCGGCAGCTTTCTGGGCTGGCATGAAAGTGTAAGTTTGGGGATACCTGGCAGACATGGAATGGGGCTGTTGTTCTCGAGATGACTGACACGGCTTCGTTCTTCACAGGCAGCCCGTCCTCGCCGATGAAGTCCAGACCTTCAAGGCCCTGATCACGATACACAAGGTTCTCCAGGAGGGCCACCCCATGGTTGTCCGCGAGGCGCAGCAACATACCAACTGGATTGATAGTTTGATGCGAGGAGTCGGAGGCGACGGCGTTCGAGGTATGGATTCTATGCAGGACAACTGCGCAATTGCTCTCTGCTCGAGGAGTGGCAATGCATGTGACGGACGGTATAATGACAGTTCTGGATAGGATATGCGCCGCTCATTCGGGAGTACGTCTTCTTCCTCGAGGCGAAACTGAACTTCCACCGCAACCACCCCGAATTCAACGGTATGTCGTCCACGGTTGACCGGTTCTGTGAAGGGCGGGTGTCTGACAATCGCAGGCTTGTTTGAATATGAGGAGTACATCAGTTTGAAGTCGATCAACGATCCGAACGAAGGGTGCGTACATGTCTGATATTTGCGACAATGGAGAGAGATGTTGATGACAGTCACAGCTACGAGACCATCACCGATTTGATGGCTCTACAAGATCAAATTGATTCCTTCCAAAAGCTCATCTTCTCGAACTTCCAGTCCGGCACGAACAATGAATGCCGGATCTCGGCGTTGGTGCCACTTGTGCAGGAGAGTTATGGAATCTACAAGTTCATTACCAGCATGTTGCGAGCCATGCACACAAGTATGTTGCCCTTGGTCATTGGGAATTGCGTTCAATGGCCGCTGACTGATGTTTCCTGTAGCCACCGGAGAGGACGAAGCTCTCGAGCCACTCCGCGGCCGATATGATGCCCAGCACCACCGTCTTGTTCGGTTCTATTATGAGTGCTCCAACCTGCGCTACCTGACAGGCCTCATCACAATCCCGAAGTTGCCACAAGATCCGCCGAGTTTGCTTGCCGAAGATGACGATCGCCCAGCTCTTCCTAGACGGCCGGCGAGAGAAGTGGAACATCAGCCCTCGCCGCCACCTAAGGTCGCTGCTGAACCGGAGCCGATCAATGATTTCTGGACAAACGAAGCCAAACGCCAACAAGAAGAGTACGAGGCGGAGCAACAACGTTTGCAGCAGCAGTGGGAGGACCAACAACGCCAACAAGTCCTGGCCCAACAGCAAGCCCAGAATGATTTCGAGGAGCAGCAGCGTCTGCAGGCGGAACAGCAGCGATTGGCACAGGAGCAGCTTCTCCGCGACCAGTACCAGACACACACACAAGGTCGGCTGGCAGAGCTGGAGCAGGAGAACCTTAATGCCCGTGCACAGTATGAGCGCGACCAGCTGATGCTACAGCAATATGACCGCCGTGTCAAAGAGGTTGAGGAGCAGATGAACCACTTGAACTCAAACCTGAACTTGCAGAATGCCTCAAAGGACGATCAGATTCGATCCCTACAGGAGCAGGTGAACACCTGGCGATCCAAGTACGAGGCATTGGCCAAGCTATACTCACAGCTTCGACAAGAGCACCTCGATCTTCTGCAGACCACAAAGAGCCTCAAGCTCAAGGCAGCCTCCGCACAAGAGGCAATTGACCGACGAGAGAAGCTGGAGCGCGAGCTGAAGACCAAGAACTTGGAGATGGCTGACATGATTCGGGAACGTGACCGTGCTCTGCATGACCGTGACCGTCTGACGGGAACCAACAAGGATGACTTGGAGAAGGTCAAGCGCGAGCTTCGCATGGCTCTTGAGCGTGCTGAAAACGCAGAACGCTCAAAGGGCACCGAGATCTCATCCTTGCTGTCCAAGTATAACCGCGAGATGGCTGACCTGGAGGAGTCCCTTCGAGTGAGTAGCTGTCCACCTTGCTTAGATGTGTGATTCATGCTGACCTTATAGATTAAAACGCGCGCATTGGACGAACATTCCAGTCGCAACAATGACCGCCAGGAAGACCTTGACCTGTCTCTTCGCGAGAAGGACGAGGAGATTGAGGTGTACAAGTCTGGTATGGAACAAGCTCTTATGGAACTGGAGGAGCTGAGACTGGTAAGTGGTGACCTTGACAACATTCGATACCTGCATACTGACCATATTTCACTGTAGAGCCAAGGCGATGTCGACCATGCGCTGGACAGCCAGATTGACACTGTGCTCCACGGCGCAGTCGCCAAGATTAACGATATTATCGACTCCGTGCTGCAGACTGGTGTGCAGCGTGTCGACGATGCCCTGTATGAACTGGACTCGTCCATGCAGGCCGGTAACCAAAATGCCTCTCCTCCGTATGTTCTTTCGCAGATTGAAAAGGCGTCGGCTTCTGCCACCGAGTTCTCAACAGCTTTCAACAACTTTGTCGCCGATGGCCCCAATAGTCCCCATGCCGAGATTATCCGCACAGTGTCCATCTTCTCTGGATCTGTCTCGGATGTGTTGAGCAACACCAAGGGTCTCATCCGCTTCGCCACCGACGACAAAAGCTCCGATCACCTGGTTAATGCTGCGCGCAAGTCTGCTCAGGCGACCGTGCGGTTCTTCCGTGGCTTGCAGTCGTTCCGTCTCGAAGGTCTGGAACCACTGCAGAAGACTGATGTTGTTATCAACAACAACCTCGAAGTCCAGCGTGATCTGCAGGCGCTGTCGAAGCTGGTTGACTCCTTCGCTCCAAAGAATACCAAGATCAGCACCAGTGGTGATCTGGGTGACCTTGTCGACCAGGAACTACTCAAGGCCGCCGATGCCATTGACGCAGCTGCCCAGCGTCTGGCCAAGCTGAAGAACAAACCCCGTGATGGATACTCAACCTACGAGCTGCGCATCAACGACGTCATCCTTGCTGCCGCCATTGCCGTCACCAACGCAATCTCGGAGCTGATCAAGGCCGCCACAGAGACGCAGCAGGAGATTGTTCGTGAAGGCCGTGGAAGCTCGTCTCGTACTGCCTTCTACAAGAAGAACAACCGCTGGACGGAGGGCTTGATCTCTGCCGCCAAAGCAGTGGCCTCTTCGACCAACACATTGATCGAGACTGCCGACGGGGTAATCTCGGGCCGTAACTCACCAGAGCAACTTATCGTCGCCTCCAACGACGTTGCAGCCAGCACTGCCCAGCTTGTCGCAGCCAGTCGTGTCAAGGCAACATTCATGAGCAAGACCCAGGACCGTCTGGAGACCGCCAGCAAGGCTGTTGGTGCTGCTTGCCGTGCCCTCGTGCGACAGGTGCAGGACATCATTAAGGAGAAGAACCGTGACGGCGACGACGGAGAGGATTATGGAAAGTTGAGCTCGCACGAATTCAAGGTCCGCGAGATGGAGCAGCAGGTATGTGACGTCCCCTTACCCTTATATCCCATCCATTCAATGCTAAAATGTATCCTCCCAACAGGTCGAAATCCTCCAACTCGAGAACGGTCTCGCTCGCGCCCGCCAGCGTCTGGGCGAAATGCGCAAGATCTCATACCAGGAGGATTAGGGAAATCGTCGCATGTATCTTTCGCTCTTGGCTGTCTGTGTATATTCCGCATCCCAATTCCGAGGAGTTTTGTTTCGTCCGTGTCGCACTTCGCGTTCTTCGGGCTGGGCGCTTCTCCCCAACCCCGTAGTTAGTCTCTTGTTTTGATTTCCCATAGCGAATGCAAGCAACTTACCTAGTTCCCTGAATCATCGTATTGCGTAGATCCACTCCCCTGCATCCGTGTCCATGTTCTGGCTCCAATAGAAAACCCTGTAGAGCGCACGGTCGCACGGTCGCACGGTCGGACATGCACGGCTCGTTTCCGGCATGTCCCTTGCTCGACGCTTCATGCCAAGCCTTGTCTCCATACCCGACTGGTGGAACCATGGGTCGTGCTGCCGATCTGCGGGTGGAGCCGACTAGCGGCGGCTGTCGCAAAGAGTATCGAGACGTCATCTCATGCACGAAGACAAAGAATCGAGTGTCTGGGTGTCGCTGTGTGGTCGGGGCTTCGAGATAAAAATGATATAGAGGCCCAATGAGATTCTGAGTGAGGTATTGGGAATCTCTGGCTCGTAATCTGGAAAACAAGGGACTTGTAGGAATGGTTGGTTGTCGAAGTATCTCATTGAATACCCATGATGCAAAAACATGCGACCGTATCCTCGAGATGAGTTACTACAACATCTTTATTTACGATTCTACATGCTACAAGAGACAAAGAAGTTTGCGCAAAATCACTAATTGAATTGCAATTTAAAGTACATAAAAAAGCTCACGTTGCAGAAAAAGAGCGTCTGGAAAACCCCGTGGGAAAGAAAGCCAGTCAGCCCAGTTCCTGAGAACTTGTCATGAGCGGATACAGAAGAATTAAAAGCCGAAAAAACTCGGCGAGAAACAAGTAGCTAATAGTACAGGAGAATTGTGTGCGACATGCGAAAGTAGGTAACTATTTTTTCCGAAGTTTTTGTTTTCAATTTTTTTTGGTGTTTTTGAGTTGTAGGTGAAAAAGAAAACGTGAATCTGATTTGTGAAAATGTTCCATGTATCCTCGTGGGCGACAGGTCAGCGAAAGGAGATAGACAAAGTAATGGAATTGTTGATCATGATTTGTGGACGGTGGTCATATCGAGTATCGCTGGACCAAGTCGAGGTTGAGAAAACGGTAGGGACGAGCAGACACTTGAGAGCTCTAGTTGTTCCCCAAGAGTCGATCGAGACGTTCCATGGTAGTAGAGTAAGAAGGAGGTTTGTTTGGATCATAGATGACAGGAAGCCCATGATCGTGCTCGGTGTCAAGGGCAGAGTACATCTCATCAACCTCAAATTCTTCAATTGGCCACTGAGGCATGTCATCGAGTACCCAGTTCTGGGGTTCCGGAATGGTGGCTCGAAACAATGGCTCCACGGCGAACACGGCTCCAGTTTCGACGATGTGCTTATCCCACTCCTCGTCACGTTTCTGGGCGTAGTTGTTGTCGGTGCAGTGCTTCACGACTTGGTCAACAGAGATCATTGGAGGGTTGAAATTTGTCAAAGTTGATGAGTTGATCTTGCGCAAACTGAGGCTGTTTCCCATGGGCTGGACATGCCAACCGGACATGGTGAGATACTGCTGACGAGACAGAAAACCCATCAAAGGCAGACAAAGCTCAACAAAGGCAGAGAGTGAAGGAGTGTCGACATGGAAATGATCGCGAATAATGGTGTACGCCTTGGCGAGGATAGCCCAGTAGGATTTCAAGGTATCGTCTTGCCACATTTCGCTGATGGCCATCGACTTCACTTTCTGAGGGATTCCAGGGAACATGGGAGCGCAGAAACCTAAAATACTGTAAGAAGCGAATCAATGGTCACGAAGGTGCTACTTACTTCTGAATACCATGAAGCTGTTCAGAGGGCGCAGACGCCGTTGCTCCAAGGGGGCCGAGAGTACATTCTGCATCACACCTCCAACACATCCGGTGGTCGAATCTGGGTGGAGTTGTTGCATGGGCAACTCTTGGTCAATACGTTTCAGTTCCAGTGCACCATTCGCATAGACAAAGCGTGGTCCGGTGGGCAATAGTCTAGGCTGCTGGAAGTAGTTTGCAGGAAGCTCGCGTAGAACTTGAGCTGCATATTCTCCCGCGGGAGAATTCTCGGGCCAACGTTCCAGCACCCTAATGGCGTGTCGGAAGGGCAAGGTTTCGACGTATCGAAAGAAAAGCATCTCAAGGTGGGTAGGGGGCACCTCCCGGGGGGACCGGAAGAGCAGGAGGGGTAGACATGTTGAACAATGTAGTAAGGATTCAGAGTGAAGAGAATGTCTGTGAAGAACAAGGTGTGGGGTGAAAGAAAAAGAAAGGAGGGTGGAGAGAGGAGAGAGAAGAAAGAAGAGAAGAAACAAGGTGGGAGGTAAACAAATACAGCCCTGGAGGAGCTGACATTATAGAATAAGGTCGGTGACGAGGTGGGTGATTTCTTTGTTTAGCGGCAACACCAATCACAGAGGCAGGTGACAAACATGTGTTTTCTTTGTTTGTATAGCAACACCAATCACGATGTCTCATCCCAGGGGAGACTTCTTTGTTAGGAATAGTACCAATAGAACAAAGAAAGTCAATTATGGAGGGATAAGACTACGGGAAAAGTTACCTCGGCGTCAAGTACCATTTCGACAACGAGGTCATACACTATAGTATATCTGTATGTTTAGACTGGCCATTTGGATCGTAACCGCATATTGCTCGATAAATATATAGCTTCTCTATCCAATACTTACTATACTACAATAATTCTAGAATATGGTTTCGATCTGTGCTAGATCTGTTCTACGGCATATGTACCTATGTATATACATAGGTCAGGTAAGTGGATCTTCCCAATTTCACCACGTGGCACTGCAGATCCGGGGGTTAGCGCCCGCACCCACAGGTAACCTTAAAACATATCAAAGTTTACACAAAATAGTTTCAAAATAGTGAGTCTGTTTTTGACTGTATAGAGAATCTCAGCTTTATGGAATAATTATAGAGACTATGATTAACATGAGAGGAAACTTGAGACACAATTCCGTCCGCTGAGTGTCGACAAGGTACCTACCCAAGATGTATCTTTACTTGAAAATCCCCATAGCAACAGAAGGTAAACAAAGCAAACAAACGAGCGCCCGACCAATACATACCTATATGAAAACAAAACAAGAAAACCAAACAAAGAAACAAATAGGGAAATCAAACAAAGAAATCAAAACAGAGAAAACCAAACACACCCAATCAAAACATAAATCAATGAATAAAAAGAAACAAAGCCAAAAGAAACAAAGGGGACGATAAGGACAAAGAAACTGGTGCCTAATCCAAAAATGGAACCGGGGGGGGGGGGGGGGGAATGGCAGAAGGCAAACGTCGAGTGCTTCAAACCTAAGGCAGCCAAGGACCCAGAAGTCTCCAGTGAAATTTGGGCTATTTATTTCCCGCTACAGGCTGCTGTTTGGGCATATGACACCCTCTTAAATAGCGTTACAAAGTGCCTTGCTCGTTAATAGACGTGTTCTGTTAAGACAAGGGGAAATCCATGGATGGATCAGAAGCAGTCTTTATTAGTCATGTATGCGTACGTCTAATCTTGGAAAGTATCATATTTGGATTGTCCGGAGCTCTCAGTGTCCAATTAACCCCACTGAATTTACAACGAGGGTATAGATATGAGGAATAACAATTGAATTGATACTCGGCTGTAGAATGCACAGCAAGCTTGTTCACTACCGAGGAATATTCCCTTCCTAGGACATGTATTTTAGTGCTCCTGCGTCGCAACCGGTGAGTTCCAGTCACTGGCCCAGATGAAAGTAGGACACCGCCATTGCGTACCCTTTTCTTTTTCTCCACTGGGTCCCAATGGCCGGGGACAAATCCAAAAGGAGCGGCCGCGGTTCATTCCGGGTTTCTTCGTGGTCAAGCTGATACACGGCTCTTGGTGTCCATCGCACGGTGGAACGGGCTTCTTGGTAAAAAGTTTTGACCAATCCTCCTTGCTGACAATCGGGTCGATTATTGAGTCGTCAATGAACTTGCTGGCCGTCGGCCATTCAATAAAAGTGTCAGCCTCCTTGCTTGTGATTTCTTCTTGAAACCCCGGAGGTTGCAGATTGATTTCTGGGGATTTTCCTTTCTCTTGTGGTTTTTCTGGTGGTTCGGGGTTGAGTGATGGTGTCGAGGGTCCCGGTAAAGCCATAGGTGGCTGGGTAGCTTCATATACGTTGAAGGCTTTTGGCTTGAAGAAGCCCGATAACGTCTTTTGGCCTGCCGCAGAGCCCCCGGAAGACGTCGATACGGCGGACTTAGAGCGCTTCGCGAATGTGGTGGGTAGAGGCTGGGCGCGTTTACGAGAAATAGTCTGAGGGGGTTGGTTTCTCTCAGTAATAGGCGCAGAACCCGTTTTGGCCGAGTCGGTGGATCGGAAGGCTGTGTGCATGATTGTAGATTCCGTGACTTGAGTCGTGGGCATGTGAGCCATTGTAGCATTTAGCTCCACCGACCCCGACGGAGTGCTGGCTGGTTTGCGAGCGAACATGTCCTTGATGCTTCTGCGCTTATCAACGTCGAATTCAGGGAGCAAACGCCCCGAAGCGGGCAATGCGCACTCGTTTGAGTATTCTTGTTGACGCTTGCCACAGTTGAACATTCCCGGTGGGTTGAGAATGTCCCGAATGTTTACTTCGCCTCCAGGCTGATTTACAGACTCCTTGATGACAGCATATACAGGACAGTGGTCTGATCCCTATAAAGCAGTTAATCAATGATTCACAACACAAAGGAGAGAAGCCCATACCATCAATCCTTCTTGAATATTCGAGTCGGAGAACCAGTTCTGCATATCCAAGCTGCACAACACATAGTCAATCCTTGAGCCGTAATTCCCTGGTCGAGCATTGAGCTTCTGATCCCAGCATGTGTACATGCCTGTACGATCTGGATGGAATGACCTGCAGACATCAAAGAGGACAGGATCTTCCCTGCCTTTGTCACGTTCGCCAATAACCACCCCATCCGATATCAAGTGGTTGAATAGACGTCGGGAAGGGGCAGATATAAATTCCTCCTCTGTCATCGTCCCTTTTCGTATGGCCTCAATTCCATGAGCGGCATCAATGCTCTGCTTCGAAATATTGATATCCCCAGCCATGACCACATTCTTCCCCATTGCGGTCAGGTTGCGGATTCGAGAATCAAGGGCATTGAGAAAGTCCATGCGGAAGGTATCCCGACTCTCATCCCGATAAGCAGGGCAATAGACACCAATGAGAACAAATGCAGGAAACTCCAGAATGACGCAGCGCCCTTCGGAGTCAAGGGTTGGTGCATCTATTGTGGTGTCGGGCACCGAGCTCACATCCTCTTGCTCCTCTTCCGAGCCAGGCCCTTCAGGATTCATAGCGGGCCTTGAAAGCTGATCGGATGTTGGATATCCACCAATCTGCTGCTCTTCTGGGAGACAGCAGAAAGGTATTGAGGATTTCGGTGGGCAGAGAACTCCAGTAATGCCCTCTTCTGCCCTTATTGGAGAACATGTGGCATTGCGCGTGTAAATCACAACACCCGAGTATCCTAAAAACTGTAAGTGTTCTGTATAGATAACCTTAGAGTAGTAGCTTGCCTTTTTTGACTCGAGGGAGACTGAAATAACAGTCCCATCCTGGAACCAAGACCATGTCATCGCGGAGGTCTTTTCGCTGAATCTTGGTTTCTTGGAGAATTACAATATCCGCCTCCAGTATATCAAACATGGACTTTGGACCAAATAAGCTCGGCTTACTGGAGAATGGGAGGATACGCACTTACCTCAAATGTGCGCTTTCCTCTCCATGGCTCATACGAGAACGGGTTTCTTTTTGCTATATTAGTGTTGAACTGTTCAACTAGCAGGTTTTGGTCCATACCGTATACCATTTACTAGAAAGTGAGTATACATTCATCACTCCAATTGTCCTCAACAATCCAGATAGAACTTACCATTCCATGTGGTGATGCGGAATCCCATGTTGGATGCTAGTGTATCAGGGAACGACGCGGCATTTCCTGCGATGCAAGTGATCAAGAGAGGTCAAGGTAAAATGGAAAAAGTCGAGTCAACCAAGGACCAGAACCTCGTCTAGTTGTTGAATCTAGGTCACGGGTTGCGGGAGAAGCGTGCGTGCATCCCGACGTCCATACATATCCCAAAATAGTCACGTGACTTGAATCGGTCTTGATGTTTGCCTGATATATCAGGCTCCATGACATCAGGTTACATAATCCGGGAGATCACGGGGATACGCTAAAGGCGGCTTTGGACCTCATCGCACCACTTTTGACCTCCACCACCAAAAGAACTCCTTAGCATCACCCACCATGTTCTCTCAGCGCAATCTTGGTCGCCTGTCTCAGCGTGCTTCGCAGCAGATGCGTTCCGCTCCGGTCCGCTCCACCATCCAGCGCCGTTTCAACAGCGCCGAGGCCAAGCCTTCTTGGATCGTCGACAACGAGTTCAACCGCGAGAGAGCTGCCGTCAAGCACCATGCTGCCTCTACCAGTGGTACGTTCCATCATAAATGAATTCAATTGACTGTGCCGTATGGCCATTGGCCGTGGACAATATCCGTTACTGACCCGATGTTGTACAGACCTCTGGCGCAAGCTGTCCATCTTGTACGTTTCCAATTAAGATCAAGACTTGATTTGACGTCCTCACCAACAGAGAAAAATCTAATTACTTCATAGTGCCGTGATTCCCTGCCTGATTGGTGGCGGTCTCAACGCCTACAGCCTCTGGTCCGAGCACTGGGAGCACTGGGAGCACATGGCCCCTCTCGAGGAGCGCACCGAGTACCCTTACCAGAACATTCGCGTGAAGAACTTCCCTTGGGGAGACGGTGATAAGGTATGTGAATCCAATTATGCTATGTGCTGAAGCCTCAAGCTAATATATAACTGGAATAGACCATCTTGTGAGTTCCGATTTCCCCGACCCCACCATATACTATACATCGTTTTGCAGAACAGCTATTTTCTGCAATATGAAATGGATGATCTGCTTTCAAGCGGATGGCATGACATTATCTCGTCACGATGTCCCCCCCCCCCCCCGGCGGAAAAACCAGGACTAACTCATCATCTACAGCTGGAACTCCGATGTCAACTACCACAACAAGGATAAGGCCACCTAAATTAGGTCGCTCACAATCCTCCCATATACTCGAGACTCCCCTTCGAATCCCGCCAGGAAATCATTGAGTGTGTGTCAGGGCTGGCTTTTCCATGTACATATACTACACTGTCGTTCTAGGGTAGAAACACAGTCAAATGCTTGGGGAGCTGAAGGTCCAGTTGACAGAATGAGGCGAAGCTTACTATGTACGAGTCAACATTCATTCTTGCTGCTATTTCTTTTGTCTTTTTTGGATCATTCTTATATCTACTTGACTCGAAACCTATGCTTCCAAGGTTGCATCGGCTGATGATCGTAATCGCCCATCCCGCTAAGTAGATACTGCGACCAGGCTGCAACCAGGCTCTTCGAACAAGACACACGTCTCGACTGGTGCTTCAAATGGATAAACTACACTAGTCGAGTTGGTCCACAGCCAATGATAGGAAAGGCGCACTTATATGATAGTAGTCGATACTTCTTAAGGTCGATTTACTTACCTTGCTGGGCTGTAGATCCATAAAGCTTGAGAGGTTTTGATATACGCGGAAATTTGATTGATTAGCAAAATTGACTGCCATGGCGAACATAATCTATACATGTTGAAAAATAACCTCAACTCCACAAAACCAAATGTCCAGGTATATAAGTAAATAATAACTACACAAACAGAGAGCTATTTGGAGCGAGGAGATCCAGCCCAGACTCACCCTCGAGGAGAGGGAAGAGGCGACGAATCCGATCCTCTAGAATAGCATCTTCAGCCTCCCAACGTCGACGATCGAGACACTTCGCCTGTGCGCGGCGCTCGCCGCCAAACCAAGCACCCTTAGCCTGATCCCTGCTCTCCTGCTCCTCTTGTCGAGCACGGGTAACAAGGGAAGAGACCATGGTTTTCCAATTCTCCAGCCCAACCTTCAGGCACTGTGCGCAGCGAGTTCGAGCAGTGCGGTCGGCTGAATTGCCGAGGTCAAGCATCGTGGATTCGGCCATGTCGACTGCATCGCGCGTCCAGGCAAGGCCGGATTCCTTCGACGAGGATGCGTATAAGATCTCGCCGATATAGGTCATCAATCCTGCTTCTTCACAGGCGGACGCCGTGGTGCGGCGTGGGGGTTCGTCGCCTGATGGGAGGGGTTCTGGGTACTCAACGGGAACAAGGACATTTCTGAGCGACTTGAAGAGAGAAGCGAATGGATCGTTGTTGGATTTGGGTGGGGTTGGAAAAGAGGGGGATATATCAGAGCCTGATGATAGAGGGAGGCTGCGTCGGGCTTTGAGCACAGATGTGAAGAGGGACAAAGCTGTTGGTAGGTTGGCTTGACGAGCGTTGTGGACGGCGAGGGCCGTGGAGACACGGAGGATGTTCTCTGAAGGTAGGTCTTCACTGTTATCCTTCAAGAGGCCGCTCTTCAAATCCACAATCTTGCTAGCATCTCCTTCCAGCCCACTGGCAGCAATGTCCAAGGCCCACTTATACATGTCACCCGCCGTGAGGCCCAAGCCTTTGAAATCAAGCCAATCGGCATAGGCCAAGGCAGCATCAAGTTTCTGCCTTGTGTCAAAGCCCTTGGTTGTCAAAACCTTCATGTAGAAGCGCTCCGGAGACGGAGACGCCTGCTCACAGTCCTCTTCCTGCGGGACCTTCTTCTGGCCAGCGGGCATAGGCTTTGGTCGAGGATTTGAGGGACCAACAACATATTCCGCAGGAGCAGATATCTTCTGCTTGCGATCTGTCAACCATCCGTCCAGGTTCTCAGCAGCCTTGGCAGCGCCCATCAGGGCCTGGAAATATCCGCGGCGCCAAGGCTCACTCTTTGCGGAGACATCGAACCCAGTGCGGCCGACACCTTCGACTAGGAATCCACCCTCATCCTGTTCCATGAGACCTTTGCCTTCTCCCTCTAGGTTCTCCAGACGCTCCAGCAGCTCACGAAGATATCCAGCGACCATGGGCCAATTCGTCATCAGCTTGCCGATCTGCTCAGGATTTTGCAGTGCCTGCGCGGATCGCAGACACCAGCGGCTTTTCCAGGACCACTCCGGTGGAGTGGGCCATGAATGCTCAATGTCTTCTTGGTAGATGCCAAGCTGTATAGCGGAGAACAAGACAAGGATGGCAGACACCGATAGGCCGATCTTAACACCTCGCGATACCCTTCGCTTGTAATGCTCGCGGCTCTCGGTAGATATCAAGCGACCGAAATGCTGGCGCAGATGAATTGATAGCGGTGGAAGTGGGCGGGTCGGCGCAAGAGGTGATAGGAAGGGCAGTTGAGGGCGACCCGGCGCCGGAGAAAGAAGAAGTAGGCGTGTGCGATGAGTGAATGGTCGGAGATGTACGTTGGGACCGGAGATCCGAGGTAGATTATTCGGTCGGATATGACTCGGTATTCGACCGATGATGCTTCGAGGAGGCAACATGATTGAGTTACCGAAAAGGTTGGAGATTGGTGAAGCCTTACTATGTACTTGGAGATTGATGGATGTTTGTCTTGTTTGTCCGGCACGTGACTTTTGTCGACGCTTATAGACAAAATACCCCAAACATCACACCATTACAGAACCAAGCAACATTATAAGTAGTGCGACTTGGACCCATTGCTCGCATATGTCGATTCGAAATTTTGATCTACGTAAAGCGCTTCAACAAACGTATCTTCATATCTAGTATGTAATAGAATTGTTCAGGACATCTGAAAATCCAGTTCTACATGAGCAAGTGAATAATATCCTTGCCTTCAAAAATTAAACGTCTCAACTGGTGAATAGCATTGGAGTTCCACCGCTCCTTGGTAGATATACGTCGGCTTAGAATGCTAACATTGGCATCGTCTTTAAAATCAATGTCAAGCCCATAGCGTTGCACTAGTACCTTTCACTCGTGAGAAAAGTCGCGCTTCGCCTAGTGGTTTACTGACACATGTTGAATTATCCAAGCACCAAAGTCAAGGGTGGGCCTCTAAGCTTGTGTTATGTGAGATTTCTTTCGTTACAAGATAGTATGCTAGTGAGCCCTTTCTATATATTCTATATATCTTCGGTAAGTATGAGGGAAGCACTTACGCTATTTCATGCACTAAAATCTACTAGAATCATAACTTAAAATGGCGCCCTTTCTGCCTTTGCCTGCACATTTCAAATCCGGGCTACGAGGATTTCTAATGGAAAATATTCGCGAGGACATCCTCAAAAGCTAACTTTGATTTCTGTCCTTCGCAATTACATATGTAGCATGTAAGGTGCAGCTGCCTGGCCCGGCCATACATGCTTCGCATCTAACTAGACTGGAACACCCTGTTGCTAGCTATCAGTGTCACGGGGTTTACCAATAACGCATATAGCTATCAAAACATCGGCGTTAGTCTCAGCCTGTTCGTGGTAGCAGTGCCTGTCATGGGCCAATTAGGGAATAATGTCGGGGTTAGATGACAGTCATGGCTCTTTACAAGCAATTTTATTCAAATAGCCATCGATGGACGAGTATTTCTTTACATCAACACTACGTAGCGTTTGTTGGCCGTCTAACCGTTGCGGACCTTTCTTATTTTCCCATTTGAGCTTGAAAAATTAGCTTAGCTCTATGGGAGGCCTGCATGTGTATCAATCAAAGTCGAACTTTCCTGCCTGTTTTCTTATCTTCTTTTGTCTGGGCTATGATAATAGTCAAGTAACCGTCTAATGTACGAAGTATACAATGCCCTGAAGTGGATCCGACGCCAAGAGTGATCGACGCGATTAGATAACGATTATGATAGTGGGGCTATTCCACATCGGGGGCCTGAGGCTGCCTAGTTGCTATGGTTTTCTATTTGGCTTCCACGTTATTTCCTTTTCTTCTATTGTCTCCCTGGTTTGTGTTCCTCATTCGTTTTCGACGTTCCCTTCTTGTCTTGTTTCTTTCGTTTATACACTTGACACACTTCACACTTCCAGGGTTGATTCTTTGACATCAACATTCTTTGACACCGACTTTCGCGTCTCATTGTTTCCTCTCTTCTACCTTCTTTTCAAGCTTTTAATGCAGTGAAACATTATCATGCCACGCAAAGAATTCCTGCGAGATCTCGCAGATGCGGCAGTTCCTGGCCGATTCCCCTGTATCTCCGATATCAGAACAGGGGAGTATGATGGATCAATTTCCTTCACATTCGCAGCACCTATGGCAAGCCTCACACTTGATCTCCAGGCCATAGTATCAGGTAAGAAACATTCTTAACTAATAGTGTCATCCAAGGCTCTAATCTTTTGCTGACGCATAAACAGACTCCCACGATTACCCCAAGGACCATGGCTTTTTGGTCTTCTCGTCGTCCGAGAACTGTCCTAAGACAGTCACCTCCTCCCTGGAAAATGCAGTGCCACTTTTTACAGGCTTAGCGGTTCATGAATTGCTGAGCAATATTGAGAGCATTATCACCAACTCTATGGTTGATCCTGATTCGGCATCCAGTCACCCAGAGGACACAGGCAGTCGTGACTCCAACAACGAGGAGTCAGCTGCCACTGACACCGAACCTGACTGGGAGTCTGATGATGAAACCAGAATATTCACATCTACTCAAAATGAGACTCAGTTACGAGAGAAGATTCGCCGTGACCTTCGTGTGGTCAAGAACGCGGGATTCAAAGTGGGATACCTAGGGTTAAAACATGGCACCATAATTGTGTCGGTGTCTTGCCGCATTTCCAAGCTTGGCATTTCCGAGGAAGCTATGAATGCTTGGAGTGTCGAACCCTCGGAGTATGTGGTTTTGCTGATTCGTTATCGACCGACCTACCTTGATCTCCAAGCAATTATCGAGACAGCAGGTGATCCGAAGAACACACCGATTCAGATGCATGTTGGCCTCTGTGATTCATACAAGCCGTCCCTAGAGCACGCTATGGAAGCAATACAGGGGCCACAGGATCAACAGACGAAAGACGAGAGTACAGCTCCGGACAAAACAATGTTTGGTCATCTTCTCAGGCCGCTATTCATTGGAAGATCGCTCAATTTACTTCTCGGAGAGCGACTGCTTGGGATCATCAATCTTCGACTAAAACATGGGTTTTCATGGACAGGGGCAGAACTATTTTTCCAGACAAACCAAGGCAGGATTTACGGCAATTCTGAGATCTCTTCCGATGAGTATTATCAGCCGGACAGCTGGGCCACTTCGACGCCAGAAATCCTTGTGGCTGACCATATGACTGAACTGGATCGCAATATCTCCAATATGTCTTTGCCTCTTCTTGCTATGCATTTTACGCTGCGGCATTTTATCAAGTGCACCGAATTTTGCCTGGTTTGTCACTGCAAGATTGGTGACACCTTCGAGTCACTGAAGCCATATGTTTGCTCCAACGCGTTGTGTTTGTATCAATACATGGCGCTGGGCTTGGGCCCAAGCATTGAATATGAGATCCGGTCCCAACCCTTTGTCGTTGACTTGCTGACCAGCCTGGCATACGCGAGGGCTTCAGCGGGGCTCCTTGAAGACTTCCCGACTGGTCTTCGGTTGCGCGTACCCGAGAAATTGCTCCCTCAAAAAGAGTCAAATTGTACTACATATCATACTGGGCAATTTAGTGGAACCAATCTTGAAATTTGGTTGCATCAGCCGGTTCCGATCAAGGTCGGTGATTGGATTGCCCTGATTGTTCCGTTCCCTGTAACAGAAGAATGGCACTGTCGCGTTCAACACGTCGGTGAGACCTCAAACCATATTCTCATCTCACTTCCAATTAAAAATGGCCTTCAGTTGCAACCAATAGGCCTAGGGTCGGAGCCCCGGGAAGTGAAATTTGTTGTTTACGACACCAACCTGGACGATTTGGCACCCGTACAAAAACAGCGGATGATTTCTTGTCTATTGGGCATGCTCCCTGGTATCCAGGAAATGAAGGCCTTCATTGGAAGCCACGAAAAGGGCAAGCTTCTTTCATCATGGAGAGATGTCATATCCCCTGCTGGGTTAGACCTTTTACGCTGGGTTGTTGCCTCAAATCGGTCTTTCATCAAGCAAGATGATGATGAGCCTCGGCATCAGGTAGTTGGAATGAGCGATTACATCCAATTCAGATTTGTTCAAGGTGCTGCCGACAAAGAGCAGCGATTTATCAACGCGGTCAATTCCAATTCCTTGGCCCAGAATCCAAATCATCCTACGATATTCGCTTGGCATGGCAGCTCTGTGAATAATTGGCACAGTATTCTACGTGAAGGGTTTCATTTCAAGCAAATTACCCATGGTCGCGCCTGTGGTGATGGCGTTTACATGTCGAACCACTTCCATACCTCATTGGGATACACTGGTACACATGTTCTTCCCACGTGGTCCGAAAGCCGACTGAAGATCTCGACGGTGATTTCTCTGAATGAGGTCGTCAATGCTCCCAAGAAGTTTGTAAACCATAGCCCACACTACGTCGTACAACACTTGGATTGGATCCAACCAAGGTATCTTTTCGTCAGGCTCCAAGATTTCAACCTACCTGGTATGCCAGGGAGAACAGGTGGGTCTGTGTACGGGAGTATGTCAAAGAGCTCGAAATCCCAGTCATCATCTTCCAAACACGGTGAAAGCCTTGTATACAAACAAGATCAGCGTTATCCAGCTTTGGGCCCCAACGGACTGCAGATCAAAATTCCCATCTCGGTATTTAGCGGCCAACGGGGGAAATTTCTTCGTACTGCTAGAGAAACAGGGCTTGCAGACCTCGTGCCGTCACCTAAGAGACGCAAATATTCAGTTGAAAATACTGAACAACATGACAACGATAGCAACAACGACAACGATGACAAGGACGACAACGACGACAATACCAGTGTTGAGACGACCGTAGAGGATCTCAGCATTCTTTTATCCGACGATGAAACGTCTGAAAGTCCCCCGGCTCCCAGCACGCAAGAAGGAGCTGTCCCAGAAACCGGCCTCAAGACTAATTTCCGACCCGGAACCCTACAGGACAGTTCTTTACCTACACTTTCTCCACCTCGATTTGCCACGAGCTCAGCCACACAAATCCTGCAGCAGCATCTTCAGGCTACCATCAAAATCCAGGAGCGAGTGCCACTCCACGAGCTCGGATGGTACGTTGACCCCAACTTGATTACAACAGTCTACCAATGGATCGTGGAGCTACATACGCTTGATCCATCCCTCCCACTAGCAAAAGACCTCAAACAGATCAACCAAAAGAGTATCGTCTTGGAACTCCGCTTTCCCCCACAATTCCCCATGGATCCACCCCTTGTGCGGGTGATCCGCCCTCGTTTCCTTGAGTTCGCTGCTGGAGGCGGCGGCCATGTTACCACCGGCGGCTCTATGTGCATGGAGCTGCTTACACACTCGGGCTGGCTTCCGACGGCTTCGATTGAGAGTGTGTTATTGCAGGTTCGCATGGCTCTTTCCAGCACAGATCCAAGACCCGCGCGTCTGAATCTATACGCAAATAGGGACTATTCAGTGGGTGAGGCGGTGGAAGCCTACAGAAGAGTTGCACAGGCGCATGGATGGCAGATCTCGAAGGATGTCCAGGAACTTGCCTGGTGATTTTTTTCTTCTCCGAAGAAACATTTGTACGAGTTGACTTTGCTTGAACCAAATCCCCCTTTGCTGATTGACTACATTTGTCATATTGAAACAATAGTTGCTACTATTATCTTCTCATATCTATATGTATGTCGTAGATTGTAGCTTCGTACCTAGTATCCCCAAGATAAACGCCCGTTGTACAAAGAAAAAGAGAGGAAAGCATGAGTCAACGGAGTGAATTCGAAGAAAAAGTTGCAGTTGAAGAATAAAACTATGTGGTCCTACAATATGATGCACGATAATCCATGATCCCAAAAAACCATACGCCTATTCACAAACATAAAACACCCCACCAAAAGGGCAATAGACAAAACCAATGCCATTCATTGTAAATTAGTTGGCCGAAACAAATGACACCTCACATGCGGTTCATGTAGACTCAGACGAACCAGCCTGTGGGACCGTATCTGGGAGCTTCTCGAGTTCGTCATTGGTTTCCTTAGCTTCGCTAGACCGAGAATCTTGTTGCGGCTCTGCTTCGGTGGCGACACTTTGATCAGGGACACTTGTTTCGGTTGTTGCTTCTGTCCTTTCGTCTGCGATGTTGGTTTCTAGTAGACTGTGGTCTGCGGCAGCAGCTGTAGTGGACTCCGCTGGAGTGGGCTCGGGCTGTGGATCCTCTGCAATTGGTGATGCTTGAGGCAAATCTGGCTTCGCGGGAGACTGGACATCTGGCCCTTGGCTTGGTTCCGGTGCTGGCGAATCTCCCATCTCGACATCTTTTGCTTCTTCTGGGTGTAGACTGGGCATGGAACCATCAGAGGGTTGTGGTTGTTCGGGCTCGGTAGCTATCGAGGGCTTTTCTTGTGTGTCGGGATGGGAAATGGACTCGTTTGGAATCTGTTGAGGTTCCTGGGTCTCTGCTGAGGCATCAGTGGCCACTGCGGTCTGCTCGGGCTCTGGATGCTCAAGTGTCTGCAATTGGGTCGAAGGTCGTGCTACTGGGGTTTCTGAGGATTTTTCGGGGCTGACAGGAGGCAGGACTGTCGCGTTTTCTTGCTGGCTTGGGATAGCGGGTTCTTCTTTTGGTGCAAGGTTAGCTGTCGGCTCTGTGGCTTCCTCTTCCTCTTGCACCTTGGTATCTGAGCTTCGAGCTTCGCAAACTGCAGCTGAAAGCTCGGTGGGTTCACTTGTCGTTACGGCAGTTCCGGCCGGGGGAGTTGGAGTCTCGTCATACTCCGAAATGACAAGCTTTTCACTTGAATCGGCGACCTCAGCCTTCTCTGAAGGAACATTGGAAGCCAGGACGCCGAAATCCACCTCTGAGGTCTTTTCGGGCTGGTTTTGCTTCTCCATTTCGGTTAATGAAGAAATCTCGGGGGCAGGAGGCTGGTTTTCAGGAACGGCATCTGACATGTCGACATCAACTGACTGCTCGGCAGGAGTTTCGAAAGAAGTCTGATCCACGAACTCTGTACCAGACAGAGGCTGCGGGGTATCAGGAGTCTTCGCGTCCATCATGGAATCGTCAGCCTCGTCGCTCTCATCGCCTTCGTCGCCGTCTTCATCGTCTTCATCTTGACCAGCCTGGTCAATGGACATGTGTGAAGCATCCTGTTGGCCTTCTCTCTTGACGCCATCCTCCTCATTGCCAGTAGCAGGGCCAACTCCATGTACTGTCGCGGCATCAGCTCCTTCGCCAGGCGCAAACATGACCTTCTTCTTCCGGCCTTTTCCAATGCCCCTGCCCTTTCTTTTGGGTGGAGGTGGACGTCGCTTTGGAGGTGTCATTACAGCTGCTGATCCAGCCTCCGCAACAACAACACCCTCAGCATTGACAATGCCGACCCCCTCGACGACTGTTCCAGGTGCAGGCGCCTCAGGCTTCACAGGCACTTGGCTCTGCTCGGCAATCGTCTGTAAGTCACCAGTAACTTCTCCTTCAATGCGATGGCCCTCGGGCACCCACGCCTCGTAGATAGAGATGTTGCCTGTTTCAGGATCAACTTTCTTGAATTTCGTCCTCCTCATGGCCCCAGAAGCGGAGGTTCCATCTGTAACAGCACTGGCGCCATAAAGGGATGAAAGACCAGGTCTCCTTTTTGCCAGAAATTCCACCTCCGCAGGCTCGAGGTGCTTGGGAAGCGTCATCCATTTGCGAGTGGTGAAGCTCCGATCGGCCATATGGGATGCCGAGGCCGAATCCTCCGCATCCGCTACGCTTTTCTCCTCGTCATCGGCTGCTCGGCTGCCTTGACGGATATGGATACATCCGGCACGGGCTGCTCGAAGGAGTGCGCGACTGATTGGCGGCAAGAGCTGGCTGTCTCTTGGCATTGGAAGCTCTGGTAGCGTTGGTCCTCCGCCTGGACCTTGAACGCCGAATTCCGAGTCATCGGGTTTGGGCGCTTGAGAGAGGGTGTGCTGCTGTCGGGACCAGCGACGTACTGGCAATCCCTCAAAGACATCGTGATCGATTTGGCCGGTTCTGGTACGGTTTGGGGCGCCATCGAGGTGTCGCCCTGAGCGCGAGGCTCTGAACTGTGGTGGATCTTAGCCAGCTAATTCAGGAATTTTAAGATCTAGTACATCTGGAATGACGATGTGTCTAGAGCAACGGGCCAGATTAGATCACCACGGGGGCAAGTTGAAACATACCGTGGAAGGCATAGCAGATGCCCCTGTACTGATTCGAAGACAAGTGCGCCCGATCAGGAAGCTTGTAATGTCCTCGTGGGGACCTCCCGGGGAGGATTCTTTGGCGGGATGTGGTGGAGTGGGTGATGGTAGCGGAGCAGTGCAACTCCGGCGCGTTGCGATGCTCCAAGACCGTAAAGACATCACGTGATACATACTTTGAACATCGATGCAACATCTTGGTATAGCAGCCATCTATATTGTAACAATATCCCTCAATTGATAGAAAACAATGCAGTTCAATTCATTGCGATGTATATTGTAATTCAGGAGTGGAATGGGGTGTTTCTGGTGCTTGATAAAAAATAGCTACAGCTGCAGCTGCATCGCTGGGTGTATAAATACAGAAAATAAGCAGGTGTTTAATTAGTCCACCATTGGCAAGTTATCGAAATAAACACAATGGAATAGTTACAAGTTTCCATCCAACCCTCAAGAATCAATCCCAACTACTACAGGTTAGTACAAGCAAAACGGATGGGCATGGAGCTTCAATTAAATGACTTACCCAGTATCCTTCTGGCGAACAATGCCTCCATCGTTCCCAGTTTCCTTTCCCTTCAAAGATAATGTAAGTTTGAATGCTGGAGGAAGGCCCTAAGCCAAGGTAGAACTTACTGTCTTCTGGCCTTCCACCACCAACTTATCCAACTGGTAGAACTGGCTGATGATCGTTTGTCTCTGTGAATATGTTAGTATAATTACCCCCCAGAGTTGAATTCAATGATTTGTAAGGTAGTGTTGCGAGGTGAGACTCGACTCGTCGACTTTCAATACGCGAGGTCGAAAATGGACCCCCCATATCTGCGACCGATCGAGTTCTACCCCAAAAAGCCATATAATACCACTGACCTTCAGCAAGCGCAAGCTTTGAAGTCCCTCTTGGATCAGTTCCTGTACCCGGCGTTCCTCTGTGGTGTTCTGGTGCTCGCGGAACGAATCCCTTGTCTTGCGACGAGCATATTCACGGAAGTTGTAGTTGGAAAACTGTCCGGAATAGCGCAGAAGGGAGCGGAACTAATAAAAAGAGAGAGACACCCGTTAGTTTGATGTATTAAGGATGAACGCACGGGTTGAAGCGCATATCGAGCCAAGAGGACATACCAAAGATCTCGCCTGGAAGGCAGTGTCACGGTGCAAGGACGCGACAGACATGATGGCTGAGGTTATGATAATAGTATGGAGAGGATTCAGGCGGTAATAAGAGTCAAATGGCCGAAGGTGGGTGGTGCGAAACGCCTGCTTGGTCAACCCCAGGTTATCACTGAAGCCTTGGTCGCGCTGTCGACACGGTGCTGCTGCGGCAAAAAGTTGTCCTAAGAACCACTTGGTTAGAGCGATGGTTCGTATTGCAATGGTCGAGATAGTAAAATGGAGTTCACGTACGTTGGGCGCAATGACTCGTATCAAAACGCAATCGGAGGTGGCGGTTCAATCTTGCAAGAACCAAAGATCCGGGGAAATCAAACCACACAGGAATCGATGATTTTGATCTCTGTTAATACAGCCTCTTACAACGGAAGAGACACAGTGGGTTGAAGTTTGCAAGAGATGAGAAGAAGCGCAGAAGTGGGAAATTCTTTTGCGTTCGGAGACGAATGACGGAGTTACCGGGGCCGAGCTCCTTTGCTCCACGTTTCTTCTGTATCTCAAGCTTGTCGATTTATTGAATTTGATTGAAGTCCACAACTCGACTTTGCTGGTATTTCCATTGCATATCCGCTTCATTGACCTTTGTTCTTTTCTCCATGACCCAAATACCCACACCACCAGCGTCGCGACCGGGCTCGGAGGCACCTGAAGTGAAGGTGAAGCCGGTGGCTTTAGAGGATTCGGTCCAATGTTTGGATACACTTCTTGAGAAATACTTGCATCTGCTTGATCGGCAGCAGAAACTACATTCAAGCCTGGCAGAACAGCTGTCGTCGGTATGATTTTGTTAATCGTGGTTCATGAAATATGCTGAGACAAAGTAGGGGTTTTTCGCTCTCGCCCAAGCCAATTTCTCCAGTCCTGGCCGGCGTTATGGTCCTGATTATTACGATGAGCGCATGAAAGCAACGAGAAAGATGTAACTTCACCCGCTATCATTGATTACTGACACTTGTTAACTGGCCGAAATTGACAGATCAATCCAATCCGAACAAAACACGGAGAAATCCATGGACGATCCGCAAGAGAAAAAGGATATCACTGCGCTACCTGGCTCTGAATACACATTCTCCGTCGACACCACACCTAGTCGTCCATCAGAGGAGGCCGATGGGGACAACGAACCCAAGGCCTCTTCTCCGGTCCTAGATAAAAGTCCTCAGGCCACCGAGGAAACTAGCCCGGCCGAGACGGCTAGCTCGGAATCCTCTGACACTGCGGAAACCGAAATCGCCCCTGTCGAAAAACCAAAGCCCGTCTCTAAGAAGTTCCGTTCTGCCGATCCAATTCATTGGTATGGAATACTAGTCCCCCAGTCGCTGCGCAGGGCACAAGACTCTTTCGCAAATGCGATAGACAATCAGGTGCCAGATTTGGCTAGTACAACAGTTGAAATGCGAGCCCTGGAACAGCAGATAGACCAATTACGGGCTCGGCTGGAAATCGAATCCTCCGACGCAGCTATGTTGTAGTCATCCGTGACCTTGTCTTACATTACACGGTTGATCAGCCGTCTCAAGGTCAAGTTGACGTTGACAAGTCGCACAGAGCATTCTATTCCTGAGACCCCAAGGCCGTCGCCTTGCATGACCAGATGTGTTTAAAATTGGGAGTCGCAAATGCCTCGGATCTAAAAATTGGACTTGCAAAACAGTCTACAATATATCCTCCACATGATCCACGAACCGTTCATGTAGCTAGCGGAAGGGCCCAGACCAGCTTCGTTACAGTGGATGTGTAGACTCGATAGCGGAGAAACATGGCTATAATTGTACAATCCATGAAGGTTTAAGGGGGCGCAATATGGCTAGCACCAAGTAGGTTTAAAGACGTTTCACCACAAAGCCCAGTCTATACTCCGTACGGAGTATGGAGCACTACATAAGTACAATATAGCCGAGTCGGGTCAAAATTCCCGAGCTACTCCGTGCTTTATTTTTTTCCATTCAACGTCTTTTCACTTTTTCTATATACAGACTACCACACCATAAGCAATGTATGAATCCCATTGTTCTCGTGTTCAATAACTGAACCATCTCAAGTTTCAAATTAGTAAAGGGAGTCTTAATGTGAGACGTTAGCGTCCGGGGCTAACACCAACCCCACTGATATAGTCGAGATGTGATTCGTCTACAGAGTAATTTGCCCGGTCTCATATGGAGGCCCCGGCATTTCATTCCCTTTTTCTCTTCTTTTTTTTTTTTTTGTTTATCAAGGTACAACGTTGAAAGCCATCGACATGTCAGTGTACTATGTAGATCCCATACTCATCAGAAGGGGATTTGAAGTATGTATGGAATACGGAGTACAGAGTCTTCGGATATAAAGTACCCTTAGATTACAGGAGTACAACTAGAAAAATTCAAAGAAATTAATAGATTAATAGACCCGAGGTCCAGGGTTATTTACTCCGTAGAATTAATATACTTCCCGTTTGAGATGTGGACTAGTATCCATGTCAGGAACCGCGTGAACCCTGTGTCAGGTTCAATGCCTCTTTTTTCTCTCCTTTTTCCCAACTTCTGAAGAGCTTGAGGCTCTCCCCTTTCCAATTTGTAAGTCTATCCAGGCCTGTCAAAGACTGGGGGTTAACCCATCTAGCCTTGGACGCCAGTTTGATACTAGCGGTTCATTCCTGTCGTTTTCCCAGTCCCATTTTTGAACGGTAGGTCTTTCTAAAGCAAAGCAATTCCATGATCACTTGGATAGAGCCGGTCCTGACTATTATATACAGTGGCATTGAATGCCCTTCCATTCTTTTGCGATCTGATCCTGTGGATCTTGTCTTTCTAGATCGTTTTCATTGCTTTATCCACTTTCTACGATCTTGTAGGCACTTGCTCAGTGGCCAGACGCCCGTGCTCTGGTTTCAATCCTTTCGATATCTTTTCATTCTTTGTCGACTCGATCAAGGTATCGAGCAATCGTTCATTTCCATTCTGCCTCAACCTCAGTATTCGAGAGCCAAATCTCACTTTTGGACCGCAGTACCGCCACGCCACACTTGATACCCTGCGAGCCCTAACTTCTCGCAAACTATACAAGGGCATCCACCCCGGCATTCCATTTAGCCGTACTTCTTTCGACCAGACGACCCTCCAATGAGCACAGACGTACCAAACTCCGGGCCCTCTGGGGAGCCTAACAGGAAAGGATCCGTCAAGCGGGCCCGACAAATGCTGGATGCCGGCGTGCGTCCAGAACGAGCCTCGCCACCCCAGCAGATGGCACATCCTCCTGTCCCCAGGAATATCTCCCATCAAACACAATGGCCTCTTCCTGATTCGGGTCTCCCACCGCACCCGGTCAACCAACATCCTAGGTATTTGGTTCCGCGTGGCCCTCCACCTCAGAGACCACCTCACCCGAGTGAACTCCCTTCGCCATCCATTTACTCAGAACGGGATAGCCAAGCCTCAGAAATGGGATTGGGTCCGAACCCAAGACCACCCCGGTCCTTCTCACAACTTCAGCCGCCTCCGCTAGCGCAGCGCCGGCCGATAAATGATGCCCCTGTCAGTCCCACCAGCACAATCGACATGACAACTCCACGAATATCGATTGCAACAGAAGAATTGTTCAGACAATCTGTAGCTTCGTCAACGCCCTCCGTTCCCGATGTGCCCCAATTTCCACCTACTTTTCTACGGCCCGAGTCCGAGTCCGGTTTTTCTCAGGATGACCCCAGGCACCGGACGGCAGGTCTTGTTGCACCGCTCAATGCGCGACGACCTCCCCCAGCTTGTCAATCATCTGTTTCGCCCATTCCAGAAGAATTCGCCCACTCCCGCTTTACAAAATGCTCCGTCGCCTCTAGCCGAGCCATCCCCTCGAGCTGGGGATCCGGTCCCGCTGAATCCGAGATTCTGGGAGCATATCTCGACATGGATTCAGATGATGGCCAGCGCTCACCGGGCCTCCAAGAGGATGATACGAGCCTTGTCCGAAGTGCCAGTATTGGAAAGCGAGGAAAGCCGACGATGCGTACCATCCTCAGGTCTAACCCCGTTTCCGTTGTAGACATGCCAGCACCCACTGAAGAGGAATCCGCAAAGGGCAAAGCAGTACGACCTGTCGTGATGGGAGCTGCTGCAAGCCAGATGCCCCATACACCAAGCCAATTACGACAGTCGTCTACTACAGCATCGAGTGAATCACTGAAAGGTGTAGACCCCGAAAAGCCACCCTTTTCCACACAGCATGACTCGCCCTCCGACGCCCGGCTCAAAAAAGAGCTCGAGGCCTTCGGAGGGCTGCCTCACGCTGCACCAACGATGAGTGACAAAAGACCTGGCGGTCGCAAGCCTCCTGCTCTGAATATGCATGCGTTGCGGGATGCAGAAGCTCGTGGGAGCCTTTCCAGTCTATCTGATTTGATTAAGAGGGCGACAAAGCTCGCATCGAACCTAGATCATGGGAGAACCGCCAGCCGAGCTAATCTGGCTGGTGGCGATGAGGCAGGGTTCAGGGCTGGGATGGGTGAGTCTTTCGGATCCAGATCACCATGTGGAATCCGGAAATGGTACTAACTAGTATGTGCTTAGGACACCGACCACGCAACTCCGGCTCTCTATCGGACATGCTCGCCTCCTTCCCCCCGCCGGGTTTGGCGACACCCGAAGAGCGCGGATCACGCGCATCATGGCCTTTCTTTGCGCGCTCTAACCTGCGTAATGTTGAGCAGCTTAACTCCAGCGATGACGACCCAAATGCTCCCCGACGCAGGAAGATGTGCTGCGGAATACCTCGGAAGATCTTCGTGCTCATCTGCATCGCGATCTTCATCATCGTCATTCTTGCAGTTCTTCTCCCTGTGTTCCTTATCGCCGTGCCCCGCGAAAAAGCGAACTCGCCCTGTGCTGAAAAGCATCCTTGTGAGAATGGAGGTGTGAGCGTTTCTGCTGGTGACCAATGCTCATGTGTTTGTTCGAACGGCTATACCGGCTCACAATGCAATGTTGCGGGTGATGGTAGCTGCACCACCGCACTGATATCTAACGGATCGAACGCGACCATGGGCAGTGCACTCCCTACTCTGTTCGAGGAATCCAAGAAGAAATTCGACATCACCCTCGACCAAGTCACGATCATGGCTCTCTTCAGCATGAACGACGTCTCCTGCAAGACCGAAAACGAACTCGTGGCTTTCAGCGATGTTACAAGTGACGGCACAATTAAGACCCGCCGATCTGTACAGTTGACAGCCGACTCGACGCCATCCGAAGAGAACAAAAAGCACGATGCTTCTCCGTCTGTCTCGAAAACCGACCCAACAACAGTCCTGGCTGTCCGTTCCATGGCCACTATGAACGGTATCCTATACGATGACGCGGAATCAAGCAAGTCAGCTACGACCACGTCGGCACCTACTCAAACCGAGTCTGCGACGAGCACCTCCGCTACCAATGCCAGCGCTCAATCCACTTCCACCGAGGCAAAGACGTCCACGTCCACGTCCACTGTGACCAGTGTTCCCGACGACGTTGTTAGGTTTTCTCGGGTTGCGGTGTTGTACATTCTGCAGAAGACAGGATCACTTGACACGGCTCTGTCCTCTGAGAAGGATATTCAAATATACTTGGTCGATTCCTATGCGAACACGACTCAGCCGTCCATGAGGGTAGGGGCGTTTGCTGTCAATTTTGAGAAGTTGACCATCACGCTTCCCAATAGTACGATAACGGCGCAGTGAAAATATGTAGGGGAAGGTGTATATAGAGTGTCCATACGGGTTTGGAGTCAATTTAATTATGTATATTGGGGTTATTGACGTATTTCGATGTTGTACCTTAGGCCAATTCTAATGGGTTTCTAGCCGGATTTAGGGTTTTCAGATCACCCGGACGATCTTTCCCCGATTGGGAAATGTAATGTCGTGATTCCGCGCGGAGGTGACGTGCTTCATCACATGACCTCAGCCTCTGCAGATGTGGCGTTAAGCTAAGACGGTTTTAGATTTGTACCTATGTTGTAGGTATACGTTATACTACTTTTTGTAAATCAAGGACAACAACGTACTACTTTGCCACTATATGTATATATGTACTACCTGATCTTTCTTTAGAATCAAAAGTCCCTCATACGATGATCTCAATCAAACGGATCGTCTAGTTGCCCCTGAAAATCCGGTACTTCAGTACTCCATACAACATACAATGTTGTAGGCCATGATTCCGCCAGAGCTTTGGTTATACCAGAATTATACGCTCATACTATTAGAATTGTCAAGACCTACATAGTTGTGATTCGAATGAAACCATTTAATACTTCCCTCAAGACAATAATAGCCCTAAGATCCATAATAATCAATGGTCAAACCTGTCTGGTACCCCGAGGAAATCGACAAGCCAAGACTTCCACTGTCCCCACTTGTTGACGACTTCTGTTGGATGTGGATGGTGCAATCCACCTGGGCACCCCTCCTACCTACCAGGAAATTTCTTGATAAGCAAAGGCTTTCCCTGTTTTTCTTTTGTACACTCTTTTCCTATTTTATTTTTTTTTCGCAAGTCCTTTTCATATTCATTATGGCCAACGCCCCTCACGGTGGTGTCCTCAAGGACCTTCTCGCCCGCGATGCTCCCCGCCAGGTTGAGCTCGCCGCTGAGGCCGAGACTCTCCCCGCTGTGACGCTCTCCGAGCGCCAGCTGTGCGATCTCGAGCTGATCATGAACGGAGGTTTCTCTCCTCTGGAGGGTAAGTGCAATTGTTGCTTTTGAGATCCATATGTTCTTCTTTTTTTTAGGAGGGGCATGCGCATAGAGGGGCAATAACTAATCTTCATGCAGGTTTCATGAACCAGGCAGACTACGACCGGTATGTGTGACACGAATGATCCCATTGGAATGAGAAACCCCTCATTCTGGACGAAATATCTATAACAGCGGCCGCTGACAATGTGCATAGTGTCTGTGAGGACAACCGCCTTGCCGATGGCAATGTGTTCTCCATGCCCATTACCCTCGACGCTAGCCAAAAGGTTATCGACGAGAAGAAGCTCCAAGCCGGTGCTCGCATCACCCTGCGTGATTTCCGTGACGACCGTAACTTGGCTATTCTTACCATTGATGACATCTACCGCCCCGACAAGTGAGTTTTCCTCTTTCTCTCCGTTTCATGTTCGGAACCGGTCGCACTGTCGATCGTTATTATCGTGTCCTCGGATGCCTTGTTTTACCTTTATTATGGGCGTTTGATGTCACAAATCTCGAATCCTTACCCAATGAGTCGATGTGGTTAGTGCTATAGTGGGGCTCGCTGACGTGGTTTTCCCCTAATTTAGGACTAGAGAGGCTAAGCTTGTCTTCGGCGGTGACCCAGAGCACCCGGCTATCGTGTACCTGAACAACTCCGTTGAGGAGTTCTACATTGGTGGCAAGATCGAGGCCGTCAACAAGCTCAACCACTACGACTATGTCGCCCTCCGCTGTATGTTCAATTCCTCGTCCCGCTCTTGAATCTGGCTAATAAATCTTCCACAGACACCCCCGCAGAGTTGCGCGTCCACTTCGACAAGCTGGGCTGGTCCCGCGTCGTCGCCTTCCAGACTCGTAACCCCATGCACCGTGCCCACCGTGAGCTGACTGTCCGCGCGGCCCGTTCCCGCCAGGCCAATGTCCTGATTCACCCCGTTGTCGGTCTCACTAAGCCCGGTGACATTGACCACTTCACCCGTGTCCGCGCCTACGAGGCCCTCCTTCCCCGCTACCCCAACGGCATGGCCGTCCTGGGTCTCCTCGGTCTGGCCATGCGTATGGGTGGTCCCCGTGAGGCCATCTGGCACGCCATTATCCGCAAGAACCATGGTGCCACCCACTTCATTGTCGGACGTGACCACGCCGGTCCTGGTTCCAACTCCAAGGGCGAGGACTTCTACGGCCCCTACGATGCTCAGCACGCTGTCGAGAAGTACAAGGACGAGCTCGGCATCGAGGTCGTCGAATTCCAGATGGTTACCTACCTCCCCGACACCGATGAGTACCGCCCCGTTGACCAGGTCCCCGCTGGCGTCAAGACCCTCAACATCTCCGGTACCGAGCTCCGCCGCCGTCTGCGCTCCGGCGCCCACATCCCCGAGTGGTTCTCTTACCCGGAGGTTGTCAAGATTCTGCGCGAGTCCAACCCCCCTCGCGCCACCCAGGGTTTCACCATCTTCCTGACCGGCTACATGAACTCCGGCAAGGATGCCATCGCCCGTGCTTTGCAGGTTACCCTGAACCAGCAGGGTGGTCGCTCCGTCTCCCTATTGCTGGGTGACACCGTCCGCCACGAGCTCTCTTCCGATCTTGGCTTCACCCGCGAGGACCGCCACACCAACATCCAGCGCATTGCCTTCGTTGCCACCGAGCTTACCCGCGCCGGTGCCGCCGTCATCGCCGCGCCCATTGCTCCCTACGAGGAGTCCCGCAAGTTCGCCCGTGACGCCGTGTCCCAGGCTGGTTCCTTCTTCTTGGTGCACGTCGCCACTCCCCTCGAGCACTGCGAGCAGTCCGACAAGCGCGGCATTTACGCTGCTGCTCGTCGTGGCGAGATCAAGGGCTTCACTGGTGTCGATGACCCCTATGAGACTCCTGAGAAGGCTGATCTCGTTGTTGACTTCTCCAAGCAGAGTGTGCGTAGCATTGTGCACGAGATCATTCTCGTTTTGGAGAGCCAGGGTTTCCTGGAGCGTCAGTAAAATTTCTATAAAGTTGCGTGAGGCTTGGAGTCGATTATATGTTTTGCCGCTCATGGAATAATGTGCTGGCTTTTAACTTGTGGGCTTTTTTTTCTTCTATGGATTCCCCTGGCTTAGATAGTTCAAGTTGCCAATAGATTTGGTTTGATGATCTAACCTTTTACACTGTAATCAATGTATTGGCCCAGGATATATGGGTAGGGCTATAGCGTGGGGTGGTCAAAACCTCGACGGTTGTAGATGTTTTGAAGGGGTTCGAACGAGGTGGTCAGTATGGATATAGAGCCACGTCTTGCAATCCTATAATATCTTAACAGAACAGTTCAAAATCACTAACTAGTGACTACATCTTACTGAATTGCCGCAGCTCCCAATAATAAATATACTATATCTAGTCTTTAGCAGAATTCGGAGAGCTACAAGAGAGTAAGAAATCCAGGGAAAACCCATGTTGAATTTAGAGGCATCTACCCTGGCTATATCAGAGCTATATCAGAGCTGATGTCAGAGCAATCTCTCACCTTCATAACCACCATGACGCATAAACCAAAACCGAAGGAATCATGAAGCCACAGTAAAAATAAAATGCAAAGGAAAAGAGACAAGAGACAAGAGACAAGCAAAGTAAAGCGAAAGGGAAAAAAAAGGAACAAACGCCAGGGAGAAACACACGATGCCGTACAAGGGGTAAATTGCCAACACGAAGTTTTAGCCAAAGTCAAAAGAATAAAAGATTACCGGAAAAATTATCAAGTAGAATAAGAAGAATGGACCACTGACAAGTGTCGAGGTCAACAGGAAATAAGGTAATAAAAGACATCCCAGCCGTTGGTTGACAGACCTGGGATTTCCAGAAAAAGATGGCCGTGTTGGAATAATTCGGTTCTTTCGAGCAAGTCCAGAAAAGCGCACAAAGACGAGGTAACGACCGTAGTTTGACCAGAGGTCAATCATTTCTTTGCTCCCTTGACAGACTTCATAACACGCCGAGCCGCACTCTTGACTCCCTTGCCAAAGCTCCCTTTGGTAGTGCTTTTAGCCTTGGAAGCAGCCTTCTTGGCCTTCAAGGGGCTCTTGGCGGGTGATTTTTTCGCAGGCTTGCGAGGAGAAGCCCCGGAGCCTTTGGAAGCAGCAGCGAGAATTTGCTTCTTGGTGTCAGCAGAAGGCCGCTTAAGCTTGGATGTTGTCTTCTTGGGAGAAGTCGGGCTTTCCTTGGCTGCCTTGTTAGATCGGGAAGCACGGACAGTGGCCTTGATCCGGCCTGTGGCTTTGACGGTTGGTAGCTTGACGTTGGTCTTCGACTTGACAGCAGTTGTGGTTTTAGCCTTTGCCGTTGTCTTGGTCGTCTTCTTCCCACGAACGGTAGCCACGGCCTTTTTCACGCCGGCCTTGATCGCCTTGGACCTGATCATCTTGCGCTTTTTGCCTTGAGAGGACTCGTCGCTTTCGGCTTCTTCTGAGACCTTTCGCTTTTTGCCGATGACCTTTTTTGTAGTTGTCTTCTTTGGACTTCCCTCGGCCTTTCGTTTCTCGAGTTCTTTGGCACGTTGCTGCTTCTCCTTCAGCCGTGGACCAAGGAAGCCTCGACAGTTCGCTGATCCACAGCGGCATTGTTGAACATTCTTGTTAGAGTAAGGACTGATACAGTATTAGCACATGGTCAATTGGCTTGATATGCAGGTAATACTCACTCAAAGTTGTAGTCATAGCTCAACTCCTCCCCTGTCGAGACTCCTCGATCTCCAGCGAAGAGTGCCATGCGTGGCTTGCCAGCAACAGTCCACTTCTCCATACGGCAGTTTGGCTCACAGGCATGGTTAACAAAGCGAGCAATAGACCCGCGAGTAGCATCAATGATCATGTTTTGATCAAAATACATGAGATAGTAACACTGGTTGACGAAGTCAGTAAATATTAAAGCATCAAGAGAGAGGCACATACGTCATTGTTTTTGTATACTGTTCTCATCCTCTTCTCGCACTCAAGCTGGGTGAGGATCTCGCCGGTGTACTCCACAATAATCTGGTTGGGCTCGAAGGAACGATTGCTGCGGACGCCATACCCGCGATCAGCTGTCTTGATGACTTCGACTCCAATGTTATACTTGCCCCCGGCCTTGGTCCGGTGCTTAAGGCCCTCGAAGTTTCGGTTACCGCACTCGAGACCCAGCCTGCAGTTACCGTTGTCACACTCGTAGAACATATAGCGGTTTTGGCAGTTCTCATCACAGCCAGTGTCTTCAGTACACATACAAGTAGACAGCTCGAGGTTTTTGTTCGCTTTCCAGAAACTTCCGGCATCACCAACAAAAACATCTAGACTGTCTGTTAGCCCTCACTTCATGATGTGAGATATTCAACATGCCACTCACTCTTGTTAGTCTTGCGCCACTCATTAGGCTTAGGCTGGCCAGGTGGTAGTGGCGAGAAGATATCAAACGGTAGCTGGTAGTCCCGCCCGGTCTTCAAAAGGCGAGCACCCTTGAACATCGGCATAGGAAGGATGGTGCGGTGCATGGGACCGGTTCCAGTTTTCTTCGAATTTTTACTCCTACGCTGCTTAGGAGGCGAGTCCGAGGGTTCCTGTCCTGTATAGAGGCCATGTGACAACCATATCTTGCGCCTAGGTCGCGGTGAAGCAGATACAGCCGGTTTCTCTGGTTCAGGAGTATCCTGACCTTGGAGCTTGGACAAGTCGCTCTCGGATACTCGACGCTTCTTCGATGCAGGCTCGTTGGCCGTCGGAGCCGGTTCGTCTTTCGACGGGGCAATATTGCGAGGGCGAAGACTAGAACGTCGACCAAGGTCCTTGTCTCCCAGGCCTCTCGTGCGCTTTCCCAATATACTGCTAGCCCGGTCAACCAGGTCTGAAGCCTTATCCATCAGACCGAAGCGACCTGACCGTCGTAGAGATTTGCGAGGAGAGGTTCGTGTTGGGACCAGCTCAGCCGTGGCCGTTCCTTCGTCTTCGGTCAATGCCTTGCTCACACGCTTTCGTAGTGTCCGCGGCTGAAGCGCCGTATTCATATTCTCGGACTGCAAGTCCTGGGAAGACTTTGAGACGGGTGTATCGGGGGCCACAGTGTCGTCAGCCACATTATCATCGTCAACTGGAGTTCCACTCCACAAGGAAGATTCCATTACTGCAATACTGTGACGCAGAGAAGAGTGCGATCGTTTCGCTTTGGCAAGGCTGTCGACGTAGGCCTCGCTAGATGAGGCCGCGGGTGCCTCGTTCTCAGGTGTGTCGTCTAGTGGCTCACCAGGCCGCAACGATCCGCGTGCAACCCTTGTTGACCTTCGCCGCCCTGCGGGTTTTTCGTCGGTCAGCGCGTTCTCGTTGTTGCTTGAGGTCTCTGAGCGACTGTTTTCAGGCGTCAAGAGTTGTTCTGGCACGTCGAGGCTCATGTTGTCATCGGTAGGCTCGTGAACCTGGGCGTCGGGAGCCGCGGACGCGATTGATCGGGACGTTCGTGGCGCCATTTTCGAGGGAATGAGATAACAAGAAGGACAATTCCACGTGGAACCGCCCTTTCTCTATCGATGTAGAACAACTGGCGCGTGTGGTCGGGCTGGATGGGGAAATATCAGGGGAAGGTGCCGGATCGAAGAGGATCAGCTTCCCGCGCGCTTCTTATCAATTTAGGGCGAGGGTCTGACGCGTGCAACAACACTTTCGAACACTCCAATCGTGGAATTTTCCGACCTATAAGAGTACTAATGCAATAAAAAGAATGAAAATGCAAGGGAGAAAGGGAAAGTAAGCATCCGCCAGGGCTTACAATGTTAGATCTCGTGCCCTGGTGGAATGCCGAAATCCCTCACTCTCGCCCCCACATGAACATAAGAGATTCTACGTCTGGGATGATGTGGATATATAGATTATTCTAGCTGTGATATACACAGGATGATATCAAATTTCCAAACAAAGGTGAATATATAGTCCTAATAGGACATGGAAAGAAAAGGCTGGTTCTGGATAGGGTTGCCCATTCCCAGGTATGTAGTCACAACAAGTAACAGGATATAACAGGATAAGAAATAGATCACGACAGATCAGTAGAAAGAGAGAATTATGTCTGCGCCAGATGTAGCAAATCAAACAGAGAAAAATGGCGACAAGAAGGGTATGTGTAATGTATAATATAGTGATTAGAAAGTGATAGTGTCCACGGGTATGAAGGATCCCAGTAAGAACAGGAATAGGTGGGTAGAGGAGAAAAAAAAGAGGAAATCATGAATATCATCTTCACAGATCGTAGCCGTCGAAACAAGGTCGACAGGCAAAAAAATGGCTTTTTGTGTTTAATCCTGTTGGGGACCAACATGTTGCATCTCAATGCCTTGGGACTCGACATCTGGGACGCGATACCTGCGCTTTTGTGAGTCCAAGCGTTGATCACCGTCTTCATACCGCTGCTTGAATTGCATGTAGGTAGGAGGCCGAGGACGCCCAAGAACAGCAATCCAATTTTTAAGGATATTTCCTTGGGTGAATGGTCGATGTCGGTCAGTCTTGGCAAACTTGTGCGAGTTGAGATATTCTCTGGTAGTTTCACCACGGCCAACTAGGAAGAGATGATATGCCCAAAGCGATGTAGGGTATGGCACTGCAACCAACCCATATATCACCATGGCCCATGGAACTCTCCATTTGGAGATTGCAGCCCCGAATGATATGCTTTCCTGAGACCTGTAGACCAAGATATGTGCCAGACTAGCACCGATCAAAAAGAGAGCCAAGAGGGTACAAGAGCTGACGAAAGTAAAAAAATAGCGGTAGTTTCGGCGACCAACACAATTGTTGAGCCACACGCAGTGATGGTCGAGGGTTTCGACGCAGTTGTTGCAGACACGGCAGTGATAGCAGCGAGGAGGCCGCCAAATATTACATGTCTTGCAGTATTTCACAGGCACGTCCATGGCAGCTACATCTGAAGTAGCAAGCTTGACCATAACCCAGTCATTTGTGGGCGGGCCAAGCGCCAGAGGGTCGTCTGAAGAATCTGGTTGAGGCATCGGATGTACATTCCGAGGCATAATCTAGGAGTATCATGTTAGCGACCACGAAACTCAATCAAGACTGAGTCACTTACTCCAGGATCGACAACGGATGCATGCACAAACGACGAGAAACACACGTAGAAAATGTAAGCAAACACTATGGGAATGGCAGGAGAGATATTATGCCACAGCCAGGGAGCCCTAGTTTCATAAGTTAGCCATTGGCCCGACGGTCATATCAAGTGGGTTCACATACGAGAAGGCAAAGAACAACGCCGAGGGTACAACGATTAAAAGTCCTGTTGCAATATTGACAGGCTTGTCTCTCGAGTTTTGGAACCGCCCCCCACCGCAGAAGAATGTGTTGCCGAGGAAGTACTCGTAATTTCTACCCATATTCGTTTCTGGTAGAGGGGGCCTTTTCACGTCGAGGGGACCCGGAGAGGAGCCAGCGGAGGAGAGATGTTCGTGGCCTTGATGGGCCCGAGAATCATGGCCGTGTCCAACCCCCCTGTTTTGCAATGATAGGAATGACAGGGGTGATTTTGGTGGCGCATCCTGCACGGCATGCCCTGTATAGTTGGCCCCAAGGTTGAGACGCTGGGGTTTCTCCTTTTGATCTCGGTCCCGCAGCAGTCGGACGCTTTCACCCAGACTCCGGACGGTTGTGTTACCGGTGGGGCTAGCGTTGGAGATGTTGCGGTCTGGAATGATAGGATCTGTGAACTCTGTTCCTCGAGACGGAGGAGCTTCCATATCAGCCGGAGGCTGAGATCCTTGCGGGGCTGTGCTATTGGAGATCAAGCTCCTCCGGTTCTGGCTTCCATGCTCTGTCCAGTCGTCGGTGGATGAAACCGTCCCTTTGGTCACAGGGCGTGTTCCTCGGTGTGCCTGCAATCGTTGCGAGCTCATGGGCCGGAAAAAAGCCTGTGCCGTCAGAGACGGGATATGTGTTCTACTCAGTCGACTCCCCGAGCTGCCAGGTCTGCTGGTCACCTGGCTGGGCGCATTGATGGAGTTCCGCGTTGGAGGCGGACCACGCCTGGAGGAAACAGAGGGCCGCGACTGAAGGGGATGAGGGTGAGGTGATGTGTAAGATGGTGCTCGCTCTCCATCTTCATCTGTCACTCGGGACGAAATTCCGCCCACAGAGGGAGGGCGAGGTATCCCTAGGACATGGTGCGGCGTCGATCCCTGGTTTGTGTCGCCAGTCTCCGGACGATCTGCGGAGTTTTCCATGGCAGTGGAAGGATGTGAATATTGACAGTTGTTAGGTGGAAATGCGCGCTATCATATTGTGTTCCTAATTGGCAATGGCGAAGGAAGGGGTGGAAGCGAATCGCGGTGTAACGTAGGCAGCTAATATCGACGGGATAGGGTGAGCAGCGAGCGGAGCAGAAAAAGGAGTGATGATGAAGCCGAGACAATGTCTAATGAGCGAAAGTGAATAAACGGATCAGTCAAGGTCCTATAGTCCATTAGTCTCAAATCCCAATGCGCCGCAAGGCCGGGGCCAAGGTGCAGAGCCCCTGATGGAGAAAACCGGAACAACGTACCTCAGACATAAACAGCGATAGATAGGCCAAACAAATTGTAAAGGCCAATTACATCACAGAATCAACACCAGAATGATCGTATATGCGTCAGCAAGTCGAATTATTCGAACCACAGAATATCAACCAACAGGAAGCTCGAAAGTCAGGACCCAGATTGCTTGAACCGGTGATGACTCAGCATCACCTGATATGCCGGCAACATCATTCGACGTTCATGATTCTCTCCCACTACCCCGTCTCCAGTTCTCTGCCCACGAATTCTCCTTCCAACGCACGCTCGAATTGCTGCAACCATGTCCTCAATTGCTGCTCTGGCTACTCGCCGGGCTCTGACCCGCCAGTCTCTCCTCCGCGCTCCCCCGCGCCGCTTCAACTCCTCCAAGGTCGAGGAGGGCAACTTCGACAAGGCCGGCAAGCGTGATCCCGAGCTCTATGTACGGATCCCACGAAACCATTGAACCACGCTCGAGCTTTCATTCTAACTGCTGTGCTTCTAGGTCCTTCTCGGTGTCATGTCTGGTGCTTTCCTGATTGCCGGATGGTGAGCATCTCTCCCGAAATCACCCTACAATGCCTCATGCCCAAATGTTTCGCCCCAATCGCGCCACTGTGACGTACCAGCACTTCTTTGGGATTTTACCCGATCTACTCACCACTCTCAATGGCGCAAGCATATACATAGAAAGCAAGCACCACGATCGCTAATCAATTCGGTATTCGCAATAATATAGGTACTTCGGCCGCAAGCCTACCTCCGTTAACTCTGAGAGCAACGTTCGCATTGGCGAGAGTGCCATGCCCTGGCACGGCGAGTCCGCGGATGGCAAGGTCTACAAGTACCAGTACCACCCCCACGGTGACAAGAGCCAGCCCCTCCGCGCTGCTCCCAGCGCCATGAACACCGTCATTGTTCCCAATGTCACCCTGCCCGAGGTATGAATTCGCTGGACCTTTTTTTATATGCCATACGTGGGATCACTCCAGAACTTGTTCAGAGTGTCATCTGTGATCGCATTGGCTGTTTTGGTAGGGAATGCTGACATTAGCTTCTTTCTAACAGGACCTCCACGAGAAGTTCAACAAGTACGGCAAGGAGGAGTGGGACTACTGAACGGCTATTGATTAGCCATAAGAAGTGCCTTAAGAAGTCGAATGGAGCGAACCGCCGTTTCTTGCGGCCGGCTGCTGTACACTAAGACCGGGGAGAGGAGAGGGCTGCGTGAACTTGCCATTGGTATAGCAAGAGATTTGTGCATAGTATCCGTATTCAGATAAAGAGTCAATTGGGAATAGGTCTCTTTCTTGCGTTACATCCGTATCCTGCTGGCTTGGTTACAAGGTTGAATTGGCAATCTAGATCCATACCTGACAAACCAGTTGCACAAGCACTGAAAGTCGCCAACTAACTACCTTAAATATTATGATATATAGCACAAAATCTGCGGATATCAGTATCAATTATGGCAACACTAAAAAAAAGCTAACAATGGAATAGAGAAATGGACAAGTACTCTATGGAGTCTCATTATACATGGCAAAATCCGTCTCTCCTCTTACACTTTTATCTTCCACACGACCACTATTTAGTGGCCTCATTACCCTCACTGGCAGGCTTAGCCTCCATGGAGGTTGACTGCTCAACGGAGCTCTCGTTGCCCTCAGCCACAGACGCGGGGCTCTCGGGGGGCACGGAGTCCTCGGGCGCGCTGCCAGTCTCAGGATTCTGGCCCTGCACATCCGGGTGCGGGGGCGCGAGCTGGCCATCGACGACGGGAACATCGTGGGCATTCTCCATGGGCTGACCAGGCTCATAGCGAGTCTCGAACTTCACTTTACCTTCAGCTCGGAGCGAGGCCACCAGGTTCTCGTCAAGAACTTTGCCGTTCTGGTCGCGGTACTCAACGCGCGCCATGGAGCCCTGTATCTTGGGCGAGGTGACGGCCGCTGGGTCTGACTCTTGGACAGGCTCGCCTGCAGGCGCAGGGGCAGGCTCTTGGGCCTGGACTGGTGGCGGCGGGGGTGGTGCCTGAGCTGCCGTTGTAGGGGCAGCCACGGGCGGCAGGCTTGGCACGTATTGAGTGATGTACTGGCTCAACTAGTGGCATTTGGAAATACATGTTAGTCGTGGTCTCGTCCATTCGTTCAATAACCTCGTCGGGGAGGTCTCCATTCCGGAACACTTACGTCGCTGTGGAAGGTGTTACAGTCAAAATCCCAGGATCCGAGCAGCTTCACCTGGTTGCAGGCATCCCTAGTCCAGGGGTTGCCATATACGAGTGGGGCGTAGAGAGTGAACACAACAACGCTAAGACCCAGGAAGATTGCCATCAGAGCCTTGCCAATCACAGGCCTGGACGCAAGCCCTAGGCTCTTGATGCGGTTTGTGAGGAAGTCAAGTTCTTGACAGAGGACCATAATGGCGAAGTAAAGGGCGGGAAGATAGTGGTGCAAGAAGAGCTGGCGCGCCATGAGGTAGAATGGGAAATAGTGGAAGAACCAGCCCAAAACGCTGGTGCCGACCTCGTAGTCAAAGCGCTTGAACGTAGCGTGCTTGTAGTCACCACAGCTTCGCTGCCACCGAACAATGGAGAGAGCCTTGAAAACGAAATAGATTCCAATAGCCAGAGTTGTCGACCACCAAATAAGCGGGTTTCCGAGAAGGTAAATTTGGCGGTTGTCTTTGCCCCAGAAGTTAATGCCACGAAGGAGGGTAGGCCAGGAGGGCGGACGAGAATCCCAGGCATGGGACTCAACCAAACCTGCGTTCGTGGTCCACATAACCTTCTGCAATTCCCAGAACTTGCCCAAGAAGCCAGGGTTCCGGTAGTTGACTCGCTCGGCGTCTGGGGCCATAGCGGGGTGCTGGTTGGACTCGATATACCAAATGCTGTTGGGAAGAGTACCGCCCTTTGCGCATGTCACTTCCTGCTGCTCCCATCCCCAGTCCGGGAGCTTGACCTTGTGGGAAAACAGGACGCAGCCAGTCATGACGTGCACCAGCTTGAACTTGGACTGGATAGTGCGCAGGCGCTTCTTTGACTCCGGGGTCTCGGACATAGACTTAACAATCTCAACCCTCCATAAGTCGTTGGCATCACCAGGGAAGCCTTCATATCCGTAGGCAGAAACCTCATACTGCCAGTCGGCCTCGGTCACCGGAGGGCGTTCATCGTGCGAGTGAATTCTTCGATGAGTGATCGCGTGGTAAAGTCTGATAATCGAACCATCTTCAATGAAACCAGGAGCAGTCATATTATCCCAGGCGAACGGGCCCTCGACCTCTCCATAGGGTCCTAGAGGCTGAGTCGAGTTCTCCAAAAGGAACACGTTGTTTTCATCCTTGTGGGGGTAGAGCGTGATTTGCTGCTGCTTACTACCCGTTGGGTACATGTGAGGGTGGGAGTGCAGATAGCCGCCCTGCGTGTTCAGATGGCGGAAGCTGACTCGGGATCCAAATGAGACATCTGCGGGAACATCTTGCATAGACTTTGAGTTCAAAGTTGCCTGGAATTCAGATGACATGAAGCCGTCACCTTCTCCGGGGTTAACCAAGCATGTAAAGTGAATGGCAAACATGGCAAGGTAGAAGCCTAGAGGAATAAAAATGAGGCAGAAGACCCGGGAGAAGAAATGCTTGAGCCACAGACGCTGTAACAATCCTACTGTTAGCATAAAACACGGCTTGATCCGAATCCGGAAACACATACCGGTGTGACATTTTTAGCATCACCCAACAGTACCCACAATTGGAGAACCGTGAGAGATCCAACCCAAGCCATAGTGAAGAGACCAACCCACTTCACGCTCAGGGTTGCGCCAAGGGAAAGACCGGTAAACACCAGCCAGAACCACCACGGGCCGCGGAAAGCATGGGCCGGTCCCAGCTCTTGTTGGTTGGTGAAGCAGTTGAAGGCCAAAGCTGTCAGGGCAGTAAAGAAAATCAACGGGGAGTCGAGCAGAATCAGACGGGACTGAGTGACCAAAGCGTTGTCAAAGATAACAAGACCAGCACCTAGGACTGAAGTCGAAGTTCGGCACCCGGTAACTTTGAGGGTGAGGAACATCAATGGGACAGTTAGAACACCTAGGATAGCTGGAAGCATGCGCATTGCCACATAGGGCACACCGGGCTCCAAATAATCCTTTCCAATATCCTTGAAGTCAAAGTTTCCGTCGAAACCAGCAAGCCAGCCAGCCAGCGTAAGCAGCAGTTTAGCTAGCGGGGGGTGCACATCCATGAAGAATTTTCCCTTGATGTATTTGGAAGCAAATCCACCGAAGCTATTCAAGCGCAAATCATTAGTCTCTGTTTGTTTTTATTTCGATCTATAACACAAGGTTGGTGCGGAACGTACTGGACTTCATCGAAGACCACGCTGGTGGGCTGATAAATTCTGAATAGGCGAACAGCCGTGGCGATCAGAGTCACCAGTACAATAAGCTTATAGTCCGAGCCGGGGAGTTTGAAGATATCATTGTTCTTCACTCCATCCGAGGCATACGTCTGAGGCACCGCCAAAGGCTTGCGGCTCTTGGGTTTGGGCGACCGGCTGGGTGAGCGCCTACCACGGCTCTGCGGCCGTACGGCTAGTGTGTCTTTCGATTTCTGGCCCATATTGTTTCGATACAGGTGTGAAACGACGTCAGCGGTTCAGGAGAACGGCGCGGGAGTCGGAATGTCGAGGAGAAAAGATAGGAGAATTGTGTGTAGTTGAGTTATAGTTTAAAATCGTTAATGAGAGGTTTCTCAAGGTTCAATGGACGAGTGGACGCTGTCGAAAGCTGGTTTCGACCTCAAGCTGTCAACCGTTCAATGGCTTCAGGCACCACACCAATTAATGATCGTGTAACAATGAGGAAAAAGGCCCCATGACAGGGAAAAAATAAGAGATTAAAGAAAAATGGCTGTTGAAGAGAGAGTAAGAAAGAAAAGGGACGTTGAAAATCAAGAACTGGATTGAACGCAGATGGACGAAAGCGTGCAGTTCCGCCTTGAGGCCAGATCAACGGCGGCTGTGGAGGACAACATGTGAGCCCCTTAGTTTTTTAGCCCCCCAGTATTGTAACGGCCTTTACGGTTGTGAGATTTATAGTTGAAATGCCATACTTTTTGATACCTATATGTATATAAGATGATCTGGAAATCAATTGACTATATCCAAGAGAAAAAGAAAGTAAACATTCCCTATTCTGGACTGCATTTCAGTGGAGAAGCACAAAAATGCAGAGAGATAGGAACATTGGCCGCGCACGGAATACACCGCCACAATGCACACCGCCACCATAATGCCACTGTCTGTGGCGGTGAAATATACTGTGGCTAGTGAAGCTAGTCAGCAAGTCCTAGATCCATCGTCTGTGGTCCCTACTAACAAGACCCCCATTTCTTCATATCCTCACCAATCCACCATGGAGTCGTCAAATGGAAACACACCTCGCACAGAGGAGTCGGAGGGGACTCTAAAGCCCCCAGAGGGCATGGTTCTCCCTCCCAAGGATATCCGAAAAGCCATCGAGACCACAGCAAGCTACGTCGTTCGCCATAAAGGTACTTTTGAAGACCGCATTCGCCAGAAGGAAAAGAACAACTACAAATTCTCATTCCTGACCCCTGGGGATGCCTATGAGCCCTATTACCAATGGTATACGGCCGAGTACAAAGCAGGCCGAGTATCTGGACCAGGAGGGCGAGCTGGCGAGACTGTCGCCGCCGCCGCGCCCGAAAAGCCCAAGGGGCCACCCGAACCGTCCTCATTCCACTTCTCAGCGCGCATGCCTATTATCAATGCACAGGATTTGGACGTTGTCAAGCTCACGGCGTTATTTGTCGCGAAGCGGGGGAAGTCATTCATGACTGCGCTGTCGCAGCGCGAGGCCAGAAATTTCCAATTCGACTTCTTACGGCCACAACATAGTCTCTACCAATTCTTCACGCGATTGGTCGACCAATACACACTATCTTGCTTCGCGCCGAGGGAATTGACGAGGCAACTGCATCCACGAAAAGAATCGCTGAATTGGAACAAAATGCAAAGAACAAATTCCACGTCATGGAGCGTGCTAAGCAGCGCGCAGAATGGGTGAAATACCAGCGGCAACAAAAGCAAGAGAAGGAAGAGCAAAGTGAACAGGAGCGCATTGAGTACGCCCAGATCGACTGGCACGACTTCGTCGTAGTCGAAACCGTCGAGTTCACCGAGCACGACGACCACGCGGACTTGCCACCGCCGACCTCCGCCAATGACCTGCAGTCCGCCTCCCTCGAGCAAAGAGCTGCACTTTCCCTCAGCACACGACGGATCGAGGAAGCGATGCCCACCGGCCTCGACGAACCCGTCTACTACAACGCCTACCCAGTCCACCCCGCACCCATGCCCATGCACGCCCCCCAACCCGCAGTCTCGCCCTACCCAGCAGGCCAGTATACCAACCCCGAGGAAGACCAGCGCATCCGCGAGCGGACCCAAGCACGCGACCAAGCGGCCGCCGCCCAGGCAGCAGCCCAAGGCCAACAGCCAATGCGCATCCGCTCAGACTACGTGCCCCGAGCCCAGGCCCGCCGGCAACAAGCCCAGATGGCGATCTGCCCTTACTGCAACCAGAAAGTGCCCTCCAACGAGCTGGACGAGCACATCCGTATCGAGCTGCTCGACCCGCGCTGGAAAGAGCAGCGTGCGAAGGCCGAAGCCCGCAGTGCCACCACCAACCTCTCCACCGTCGACGTGGTCAACAACCTCAAGCGTCTTGCAAGCCAGCGCAGCGACGTCTTCGACCCTTCCCCCCTCGACTCGGAGGAGGAAACTCGCCGCAAGCGACTGGCTATGGGTCTCGATGGCGCGGCTGGCCCACAAAACCCGAATGCTGGCCCGGCTGGTGTGCAGCATCCCAACCCCCAGAGTATGAATATCGAAGACCAGCTCCGACATATTCACCAGCTTGCCAAGAAATGATATCCCCCCATCGAGATGAAGTTCAGACGGGATGTTCTCGTTCCAAAATTGAGGTTTCGCGGGTTTTTTTATTTCGAACGTATGTTTTCTGCCATTTGTGGAGTTTGGGAGGGATGAAATCTGGATGATGAGCTTCTTTTTTTCTATTTGTGTACAATAGCCCTCTTTTACTCTAACCTCACGAAACATCTTGTCTGGTCTATGCTTCTTTCTATCCTATCTTCACTTGAATCTGTCTATATTGCATAAAAAGTAGTGTGATCCTTTGGACATTAGTGACTAGCATGTGTTACTCGCATCTTCTACAGTACATTATTCCAAGAGTCGTCTATGTATGCAATTTGATTCAAAATCATCTATCGTTTATCACGATACTTCCACCACCAACGGGGCCCGAGACCAGCATCGCCGCGAGTCAAAGGTGGGCACGAAGGGAGAAAAAAAAGGGGGGGAAGAACAGAAACAGTGAGGATCCATCATGCCACACCTGGTCCAAATGTCCGCGGGGGAAAAAGGGACAAGGGAAAAACAAAACACATTATTATGTATACATGGTCGGAAGTGAAAAGGTTGATAGTAATACAAGAGGCCATGCCGCTGGAAGTGAAGAGAGGGGTACCCAAAAAGCTAGAACCAATGAGGAACATCATCAAGGTGTAACCCAGTGGGTTATTAAAGGTAGAGGTAGAGGTAGATGTAGAAGCAGAAGCAGTATTCCAAAGGGCAGGTCAGGATCAACGACCTGGAAGAAGTAGAAGAGAATTAAGTGACTGAAGAATGCAATGCCAAAGGGTGGGGGGAGACATTAGGCGGATCATAAAATGCTGGGTAAACCGTGTAGTCGTATCACTCGTGTTGATCGTTTGTGATCAACCGAGGTCAAGAGTTGCTCAAACCATTGGGTTTGGCGATGTCTTTGTCTGTCTCTGTCTCTCGACTCTGAACGATCGATGGCTCATTGGGGACAGGTGCCGTGGGATTGGCATCCACGTCAGCGCTAGCTTCTTCATAAACGCTTGCTGCTGAATCGATAGAAACTCGCTTGCGTTCCGAGTCACTCAAGGAAGCAGCATCGTCCCTGTCATAGATAGAACTTTGAGGTCGAGGAAGATCAGGGTGGTTTATATGCTCAGTAGCGGATTCTGTGAATAGTGTTTCCGGTGCGAGGAGATCCGTCGCTGATACTTTCTCTATCCTGGGCTCGAGATAAGTAACATCTACAGGATAGAGATAGCGGTCATCATCGTCCTCGTCGGCGCCGCCGGTATTAGACTCTGTACTGGCCGGCTCCGCCTCTGGTTCGCTTGGTCGATTGCACAATGGCATGATGCCTCCTCCGACACGGGACCAGAACATCCTCTCTCTGAGGCGGATAGTCTCATCCCAGATTTCCTTTTCTTCTTCGGTATCGCCAGCCCGAAGATGTCCATCAAGGATGAGACGCAGGTAACCAGTGAACTCGCAACACGAGCGCACTCTTTCTAAGCAGAGAACACAAAGTGAGTACCTTTGAGCGGACTCGCTATCTGACGTTCGGAAACGATGGGTTCTCTCATTAGGCGTGCCGGGTCTGCGTTCACCACAGACAGAGCAGGGAAATTCGAATTTCTTGGTTGAGGAGGGCATTGGCTCCACGACAAGACTGCCTTCGCAGATACCACTTAGAACGGTACGCCGGGTCAACCATGAGATCCCCGGCGCTAGATCTAGTCTCAATGTAGGTTCGACATCCTCCATAAGCACCCGCTTGTAGAAGCGAGTTTCCTTCAAAGAAAAATTTGATCCCGTTGTGGAAGACATGCTGCCATTGGGGGAATGGGCAAACGCTTTGGTGGGTGATGAGGTCGACGACGGAGATCCTCCACTAGCAAAGCTTGCCAAACCCATCACGTTCAGTCCTCCATATGACCCACTAGCAGCACGACTAGGCGGTTTGGAGCTCCGAGAGAGTACAAGCAGATCGCGGAAATCCTCATAAGCCTGCAAATCCGTCCGGCATACCATGCGGAGATGCTGCGGGAAGCAGGAGGAAGAGCCCGGAGTGAACTCCTCGGGGTTGCCAATCAATATAGGAACGGGTTCAAGCTCGGTCTCTTGGTTACTAGAACCTTGCGCTTGTGATATCTCATCCGAGGATGATGTAGTAGTGGTACGGCCTTCCGCGTCATCTTTGTGCAGGTTCATCGCTTGCATGACAGACTTGAGCTCGGCAAGCTGGTCCTGGTGCGATGCTAGAAGTAACTCGGTGTCTTTAACTTGTGCACGCAACTGCTCATTCTTCTTCTCCACCGCCTCCCGTTCGATCTTAGCCGCAGCCACCATCTAAAGTAGCGTTAGAATTTAGTTTTAAATGCATATGTTGAAGGAAATTACCAACCTTATTAGCTTCTTCAAAAAGAGCCGCCGTAAGAGTTTCCACTTCTTGTTCAATATTCTTCCTGCCCTGTTCAGCAGCGAGACGCTGGGTTGTTTCTTCCGCTAAAGCAGCCCGTAATTGCGAAATTTCGCGATCAGAATCGACCTTTTTGATATAGACTTTGTTATCAATGTCTCGCCGATACTTCTCATTCTGGAACTCCAGAGCTTGAATCTTGCCCTGAGCTAGTTCTAGCTCTTGGCGGGTAGCAACCAGGCTATCATCGAGGTTTGTTTGGTTGTTTATGGCCTGAATTAATTTCACAGACAATGCTGCTACTTCGTTACTCAAATCGGGGTGTTGAGACGATGATGTCGAATGTGAGACCTCCGACCTGACCATCAATCGCGGGTCCTGCAGGGTGCTGAAACTGCTTTCATCAAATCCGGAGTTTCGTGTTCCATTGGAAGAAGCGATTTCGGAGAGATTGGTGGTGGACTTCGCTTTGATGACCGTGCGGTCAGGAGATAACGACCGGTGCTCAGAGGAGAGCGACCTCTTGTGGGCGTTGCGCGGGATCATGTTGGATGGTGAGAAGAAGCTATGATGAGAGGTCTGAAAGGCAATTAGACTGCCCCACCTAAAGTGTCAATAATTGAAGTCCGAAAAAGGATATCTTGATGGATACTTACTCGGCCATAGTGAGTGACGTAGAAGGCGTTCGGGGTGTAAGGCAAGAGAGGGTTCGCTCGTAGCCAGATCAAGATCAAGATCACGTCCAGAAAACCTCCGGTAGATACGTTGCTACCCACGCCATTCACAACAAAGCGACAGGTCTTAGAATAGAAAGGTCGCGCGTGCGGTCGAGTAGGTCCACGGGGTACGTAATAGGCTGAAAGATAGCGGAATCCGGATTTAGGAGCGGAGAGAGTTGGATGGCCGAATACACAACAGAAATGAATGCGCTGAAAGTGAAGAGAAGGATTGAATCGCCACAAACAGGTCTGATCGGAAATATCAGCCTGTTGAAGGTGTCGAGGAAGTCAGAGTTGCAAGCGCGAGGACGAATCGAGGCTTAGTCACCCGGAAATGAACCGGGGCACGGATGAACTATTGAAAGATCGACTGCGCTATGCACTTGTAAGAAGGTGAAGAGTTTAATATGAAATATGAAAATGGGCTTTTGGAAGGGAAAAGCCAATGTGAGAGGGGACAAATTCAGCATCGCCACCCGGAGACGGAACGGACACCCCGGCCGCTTCTGATAGCCCCTCGGGGATTAATTTGGAGCTAACCCTGAAGCTATCGATACGAAGTAATTTGCTTTTCAATTTGAGATTTGCCCCTCAAGGCGCAATATGGATCCCAAGCTAGTTACCGTGTTTTTAGTGCCTATGTGATAGGCGCCTACAAAGTACATGTTAAGGCTTATCACGCAGAACATGCATAGCGTGACCACGCAAATATAATAAGGTATTATGCCATGAAACAAGCCAATTAAACCACAAATTGACATACGCAGTCACCAAATTGACCCTATTTGATCTTATAGAACATATGTACAGACAGTTAGGTGTAGTTTGAAACATGAAGTTCCACGTGTAATTCCCCCGCAGATACTCCGTACGAATGCGAGGCTTACTCCGAACCTCCACTAGGCAATGGCATTCAACATAGAATACTACTTGGGTATAGTGTTAAACGGTTTTATTATCGGCTATTCAATATCTATCTTTGTCTATTTTTATCTCTATCTGGTATTATTAATATTATGGATTTTTTTGTAGAGTTTTGATTGTCCACTGTAGAGGGTGATGGTAACTTCATACAAAATATATAGATTGTAGTCGAATGTATGTAGTAGCAATTATATTTCCATGACAATTGAATTCTCCAATTCCTCTACCAGTACTTAAACTACATATGTATGTACTCCACCTAAGTAAACCGTTGTATATCTGTAGTTCCAAAACTACCCCGGAATAAAGTATGGTCGTGAGACCCCTCCGTACTCAGGCGAGCCCAAGTGGGGTTCACCGAATTAATCCTTGACTCTTCAACATTTGATCAATCCAATCCCCTCACTCTATTTGAATATCCACCATGGCCGACGCAGAGCTAGAAGAGGTTAGTTTCACAGCCATATCATGAGAGGTCTGCATCCTTCGACTCCGGTACTAAGAGAGAGGAAACAGATCCGACGAGCTCGTCTCGCACAACTCCAGCAACAAGGACCACGTGGAGGTGGTCCAGCCGGGCAGGATGGTGGCGAGCAGGCACAGCAGAGAAGGTAAGTGTTGGAATAAGTCGCAAGAATATGCTGTATGCTAATAAACTCAACCAGACAAGCAGAGGGTAAGTCCCAAGATCCAACTTTTTTAGTCCACTGATTCGCATCCGATGGACTACAAGCGACGTCATTATATTGCCGTATTTCTAACCCATCTTTGATTTATCCCAGCCGAACAACGCGCTTCGATCCTGACACAAATCCTCGACCCCGACGCTGCCGATCGCCTGGGCCGTATCCGCCTCGTTAAGGAATCGCGCGCGACAGATATCGAGAACCGCCTCATCACGCTCGCCCAGTCTGGACAGTTACGGGCAAAGGTCACTGAAGCACAGCTCAAGGAGTTGTTGGGGGCTGTTGCGGAGAACCAGCGCAAAGAGGAGGAGGAGCACAAAATCGTTATCTCTCGCCGCAAAGGTGGGTGGGATGACGATGATGATCTCTTGGACCTGTAAGGGTCGCATAAAATATGAACTATGATTACTTGTGCCTACGGCCTTTTTTTTTATTGCATCCGGATACCTCTGTTGCTATCCGCTCGTGGCCCACTGGGAAAATCTACTCCAGGCGTTATGGTCCATCTTTCTTTTACACTATTTTGCAGCTGGGTTGAATTTAGGGCAATTAGCCTCGCATGTACGCATCTGCGCTTCGGTGATATGGTTTACAACGATCCAATAATCATACATCTCTCCCTATATTCGAGTTCCATCGCTCCGACAGGACGCAATCCAGCTCAGTTCGAAGCCTGCTGCTGTCTCTCTTTTTCCCGCTTCTGCTGCTGCCGAATCATCTTCCGAATCTCCCTTAGATCCGGCGGACGCTCAATATTCAGCTCAGCTCTAAGCTCGTCCACATCCTTCTCCAACACCTCCTCCCAATAAACATTGATAAGCTCCTTACTCCTCAGCCCACTGCGAAGAGCCCAAGGGAGATGTAACGAGAGGAAGCGCTCTTTCTCAGCAGGCTTCATCCGCACAAAGGCGAATAGACTCAGCCCGGTCATGGGCAGAAGTGTGTTCAGGAACTCCAGCGCCTTGAGAGCCAGCTCGCCCTCTACGAAAATCGGTAGACCTGTCACTGCGTGGTAGAAGTCATGGCACTCGCGATATCGCTGCATGACATATGCACATTCTTCATTGTCGATGTATTGGACGTTATCTCGGGTGTCGGGGGATACACCCTCACGATCTAGCCATTTGGCGTATGTCCGGCCGACGGAATTCTCGGGGAGGGTGCGGAGATGGGCCATTTTGAGGGTTTCGGAGGTGATGCGGGGACGATCGCGGAGAATGCGGCGCCCCGTTGGATCTGAGAGCATGGCATCGCGTAGTCGGTATATGAAAAATGGGGTCGCGGTGGCTTCGCCCAAGGCCGCAATGAGATCTATAGAGTACCATGTTAGATCGTGGTCCGAGATTCTATACTGGTTCTGTAGGAAATTATATCCACGCACCCGCTCTTCTCGGGTTGATAAGGGATCCAATTGCCGAGCCTATAGCAAGAGCCCCGCGTTCGATAGTAGTCAATGGGACATGGCCAGGGTAGTTTGGTGGTGGGCGGTTTAGAACGGAAAAGGGCCGTAGAGTGCTTGCAGCTGATAGATTTGGGCTGGCAGCCAAAGCTCGAAGCTCAATTGCTCCACGCCTCCCAAGTACCGACATCATGAATCCCAAAGCCAGAGGAAGTTGTGCATGGTCTGGGACGAAAGCTGAAGTGAAAGTAGAAGTGGTATGATTATCAGATCGGCAGGGACAGCACGAGTGGCTGTTGTGCCCTGCCGTAGTTCGCGATAACGCCGTTTATCGCCGATAACCATCTGCTCCACATTGTAGAGTGAATTTCAGACACACATCGACGCCCATTGAGACTACTAAATATTCTCTTGTAGGCTTGCTGGTTTGAGAATATAGCATATAATAGAACAGACCCCTCTGAAGGTGTGTTCTAACAAATGTATATCTCTCCAACTCAATCCCTAGCTCGTACTATATGCTGACTACTGAAGCAAGCATCTCAAAGTCTGCCAAGAAGGACAAAACCAAGCCAATATGAAGCCAGAATGGTGGCCCGGAGAAGAGCATGAGGCCTTCACCGAATGGGCAACCTCCAATGGCATAGACACCAACTCAGTGACCCCAGCCCGGTTCCAAGGACGTGGATTGGGAATGATGGCCACCCGGAACATCAAAGTATGAATCCCCAAATCTATATATACTCGTTTGTATATTTGCTCACCGAGTACCTGTCTAGAAAGGAGAAGTTGTCCTCAGAGTGCCAACACAATTGATGCTCAGGGTCGAAGATATCCCTTCCGCCTTTATCGACAAACTCCCAGAAGACATTGCTGTACACGCACTTCTGGCGGCATATCTCACGCACGGTACACCAGATGAACTGTCAAAATACGAGGTATGGCGCAAGTCATGGCCCAGCCGAAAAGACTTCGAAGACAGCATGCCGATTCTGTGGCCAACCGCCCTGGGAGGACCGCAGTTGCCCAGCAGCAAAGATGATTTGACTGACTCGGAGCAACCAAGTCTTCTCCCCACGTCAATCTCAGGGCTCTGGAATAGTCTACAGCCCGGCCCAAAGACGAGGAAATACAGCGCAGATTACCAGAACATTCTTTCGCAGCAGGTCCAGCGCTTGCACAAAGCATGGACGGACGTCATTTCTGCATTCCCAGAGACCAAGTGGGAGACATTCTCATACCACTGGCTGATTGTGAATACGAGAAGCTTCTATTGGATTGGCGAGGGACAGGAAACGCCGGAAGACCCTAATGATGCGATGGGGCTGGTGCCTTTTGCTGATTACTTCAATCATGCGGATGTTGCTGTAGGTGCTTCGTTTGAGTTTCATGTCATATTGACCGAGCTAACACATAGATGGAAACAGCGGAATGTCAAATTTGACGAGATTACATATGAATTTCGCGCTACGAAAGATTATGAGGAGGGCGAGGAAGTGTTCATGAACTATGGCAGTCATCCGAATGATACTTTACTAGCAGAATGTGAGAAAGCGCTGGTTATTTCCTTCCCTTCGACGTGCTGACTTAGTCTCTCTTTCTATAGATGGCTTCTTCCTTGATGTGAATGAAGCAGACTCGGTCTATCTTGATGATATCATTTTTCGGGATATTCATTCCGCGGGGCAGCAAGAGGAGTTGTGGTTGAATCAGTATTATGGGTATGTGGTTTGATTTGATATTTGACATGACAATGCGCATTTCCCACGCGATATATACAGTTCTCCACTGACACAGCGCTAGTAACTACCAAGTCACTCCCCATGGACCCTGTTACCGCACAGAGGTCGCTGCATGCTTGAGTTATATGGAGGAGGAGGATTGGCGGAACCATGTTCTTGAAGGCCAATCACAGGGCTTGGACGAGAGTCGATCTGAGGCCATCATCAAGAGGTGGATTCTGACATATGCCGCAGAGGCAGATGCAACTATAACGGCGCTGCAGAAGGCCATGGAACTCAACACCACAGTTCAAGCACATCGTTCAAAAGCAGAGATGCTGCTGAGACGGTGGAGGCAGATCAAGGATCTCTGCGATCGTGCGGCCAAAACTGTCTCTGTATAGAGGTTCTTCACAAAGAATTTAGATCATTGTTGAATCTTTTGACCTGCTCACACACAGAGAGATATGACAAGGAGCCAAGGTAGAGTAATGATTCGACAGACTAGAAGGTAATCCAGAGCTGTTAAATGGGAGGTTCATTTGTAGAGATGACATTGTCGAGATCGAGGGGAATCGCGCCAGCTTCTCGGCTCCGATGGGTAGCGGCTTTGGCAGCGACCAAATGCTTGATCATGTAGTTGAGTGCGCATTTGATACCCAGTTCTTCACCGCGACGCACAATCCATCCGTTAAAGTATTCAATCTCTGTCAATCTCCTCTGGTTGATATCTTGCTGCATCGAACTGTGGTTCTTGGCCGTGTTGCTCGCGATGTTCACGACCAAACGACGCAGGCGTTCTGGGGAGAAGCGATCTTCGACGCCCGGGATACCTTGCAGTTCAGGAAGAGCACAGATCACAGCGGAGATCTCAAAGAGTAGCAGCCTCATGACACGGGTAAAACTGAACGAGTAGAGGAGTTCGCCATTGGAACAGTCGCTTAGTGCAGTCAGGGGATTGATGACGCAGTTCACTGCCAATTTCTCAAGTTGATATTGTAATAGACCCGCCGGTGTATCAGCCACAGCGACCAAGGGCGGAGTGAGGGTCAAGAGGCGCAGAAGATATTTTGTGGACGGCGCCCACGTATGGTCAGCTTCCGGCGTTGTGGGAGGGATACTGGGATCTCCAACCGGGCTAAGGATTGTGGTCCCAACTCCTAAATGCGAAATCTTGAAAGAGTCGTTCCTGCCCAGACCATGGCTGAAGACTGTCTGGATGTAATGTGGTCGATTGTTGGGATCGGGGAAAACATTTTGATTGATAGAGTCGAGTACGCCCATGCCATTATGGACAAGACAAATGGTCGAGTCTTTGGTCAGGCGGTGACTAATATCTTTAATGGCAAGCTCCGTGTGATGCGCCTTGGTGCAAATAATCAGGCACTCAATGGGACCATTATCTGGCGGAGACTGTGAGTTGAACGGCGATGGCCGGTTGTCAACCGGAGGCATTGTATACCATCTTCCTTCTTCGTCCACTGTTTCAACATCAAATCCCGTTCTGATATCGTCAAGGCCATGGGTGCTGACAGAAATTTGTCCCCTTTTCCGAACAAAGGCCTGATAGAGATAGTCATTGTGCAAGCATATTGTGATTGGCGGCGGTGACCGTCTCGTGGCTAAAGAATGAGCAAAGAAGCACCCTAGATTTCCCATTCCGAGGATATGCACTCGTCCTGACAGAGCGGCTTTGGTATCATGGTTGACCTCATGCAACTCTTCCTTCCATGTTGAGATAAATCGTGTGTTTGGCCCACCATAGACCTGGAACCGGGACCGAAAACATGTACCAAGAATGCCAGTCCGCCACAAAGAGCGGGGCCGAAATGTCGACTGCATTCTGAGGGTATTGAGGAAAAGCTCCCCGGGATATCCGATTGAGTTGCAAGTACGTGTTTGGCGACAGGGAGAAGGTCAGAGCGATGGGTTTGGTGAGGTATCGATTTTTATGTTATGGGTATTGTCGAATAGGTAAGAGCCCGGCCACTGGTGTGTCCACCAAGGCCTATTTTCCAACAATCAAGCAATTGTTGAATATGCGCAAGTTCTCGGCGATCTCAGTTGCGCAGATGATCATCGGTCCAGAATCCACACCGCCCGCTCCTACCGCCCCAGTTGAACCGTCCTATTTTTTTCTTAGATCAAGCAATTTCTCATCTACACCACATATCACCACCATGGACCCAACAGACCTACTACCGCTGCTTGAGCAGCTGGATGACAATGTCGATGACTTGGAGGGTGTGCTCGAGCCTCTTTTGGCCAGTACACTCCTCAAAAGCTCCAGCAAATTGCCTGTTATGGACAAAGCGAAACTTCACGTGTTGATTACCTACACACTAGAATCACTAATCTTCTGTACGTCACACTGCAGTCTGACAAACTTTACTTATACTAATGAAATTGGACAGCTTATTTGCGGCTTCATGGCGTGGATGCGAAGCAGCACCCAGTGTTCCGGGAACTGACCCGTGTGAAGCAGTACTTTGAAAAGATCAAGGTACTGGAGACTGAGCCCGAGGAACGCTCCATGACCCTTGATAAGGCAGCTGCGGGCAGATTCATCAAACATGGCCTTGTAAGTGTTGACCTGTTTTGTTGTCTTGCCATGGCTACTGACCAAATTTACACAGGCTGGCAATGATAAATATGACTTGGAACGGGCAGAAAAGCAGGCCAAAGAGCGAGCCCGTGCTCAGCTCAAAGCAGCCATGCTCGCCCGCAAGAGCATTGAGGCCTCGAAAGCACAATCAAATAACGACTCTGACGATGACGATTCTGAAGGGGGTGTGGATGTTGCAACAGCAGCAGAGCCCCAGCTTGACACAAATCACCCCGGAAAGACCGAGAATGATAGCAAAAAGAAATCCAAAGGAGAACACAAATCAGAATCCAGCAAGGCAAAGAAGGAGAGGAAAATTAGCAAGGCGACACTGAAAGAAGAGAAGAAGGAGCGACGGCTGAAGAAGGAGGAGGCCCGAAAGGCCCGCAAGGCCGAATGAGTGCATTGCTCCCCTATTTTGGTGGGAAACTAAGTATGAAATGCCTTGCGCCTCGAATGCTAAGGACGGACTGCCGCGCTGTCTCAAATCATAGCATTGACTATGCGTCATCATTACCAGAACCTCTGTCGACTGTCGACACGACATGCATTGTCGAATCTAATCATCGCTTTGCCAAGCCTGTCAGGCCATGAGCTTCCATTTAGATGGATGTCTCGGCCATCTCGAGACCACAATGAGTGGCTCTCTATGTACCATGTACGAGACTTGGATGTCTCTATGAATCAAGATACCCTTCCGCAATGGGAGCTACAACAAGCTCCGCGATACCCTCTATGCACAAGCTAGTAGATGAAACCGACTGCTCCTTCTATGACATAATTTGCGCACATCCATTCTATCGCTTTTAATAGCACATGCTAGTAATTCCCGTGATAATCCCGTTCCTGACTCCGCGCCGGGTAACCGGTACCGTAATGTCCGGTCCACGTGACAGCCATCCACCAATCAGCGTCCACAAGACTCCAAGGTTTGCATCGGAGTTTGCCTCAGTGGCCGAACTTACTCATCTTCTAGCTTCTTCTTTCTCCACTAGAACTTATACTTATCTCAACTTGCATATCCTCACCTCCCTTTTGCATTTGTCCAAACAAATCCACACATAACCATCAATATGCCTCGCCAACAACGTCGTGCCGCTCCCACCCCTGCGCGCAGCGCTCCCAAACGTCCTACCGCCGCTCCTGCTCGGCCCGCGGCTGCTCCCTCGCAGCAACAGTCACAGCCTCACTCGACCGCCGCCCAGCCCCAACAGGCCCAGCAGGCCCCTCCCATGCAGCAGCAGAGCGCTGGCCCTGGACTGTTTGGCCAGATGGCCTCGACCGCAGCGTAAGTTCCAGACCCGGCTTTGTTATTCGTTCCCCGAAAAAATCCGGGGTTAGGATCGACTTTCCGACATATGTGCTAACGGTTATTTCGATACAGTGGTGTTGCCGTCGGCTCCTCCATCGGCCACGCCATCGGTGGTTTCTTCGGCGGTGGCTCCAGCGCCCCCGCCGAGGCCCAGCAGGCCCCCCTTGCTCAGTCCCAGGCTATGGACAACGGCCTCTACCAGAGCAACGCTGCCCAGACCTCGTACGAGAACCCTGCCTGTGAGGTTGATGTCCGCAACTTCCGCACTTGCATGGATGAGAACCAGGGTAACTTGGGCATTTGCGGTTGGTACCTTGATCAGCTGGTATGTTTACACTTGTTCTGTTTTTTTCAATGCCTTTTTAATACATACTAATGTCCCGCAGAAAGCTTGCCAGGCTGCCGCTAAGCCCTACTAAGGGTTTGATACCAATTTGACCCTTGGTGGTCAGAAAGACAGATACCATTTTTAGTAATAAGTGATGGGGTATATGGGCTTGATCGTTCATAGCCAATCTTTCTTTTGCATAGCCATTTCCATATCCCCTCTTTGTACTTTATACCATCTCTCCTCGATAAAGGAATCAATGCTTGACTACCGAATCAAGAATTCGAATGCATGAACTTAACGAACTTCCTACATTTGTAGTGATCTGATGATTGTTTGACCAATACCTGTATCAAACCCAAATACGATGGAAAAGAGCAGTAAAAACTTCATGGACAAGATCACTTATTATGACTGCCAACTTTACAGTAACTAGAAAAGTGAATAATAGCCAGATATCATAGTACAGAGCGTTCGATCCATCAACGCCATATATAAACAATACAAGCACACTAGAGCAATTCCGTTCGGACTTATTTATCCTTGTCATCCTGGTTCTTCCGTGGCTCGAAGTTCAACTGGGAAAGATGTTAGCCAGTCCTGAGCAATGTATTCCACTTAGGATCACATACCTGGTTCCCATTGTAGAGCTGATTATTCCCACGTCCATCTTGCTGATCCCTCAGCGTCCGAATATTGGGTCCCGTGGTCCTAGGGCGCTGAGAATTGCCAGTAGCCGGAGACGCCGAAGAGGTGGTCGCATCGCTTGCTGGTGCGGTTGAGCCATATCCAAGGAATGAGCCCACAAGACCTGTTGCAGTGCTGGCAGCAGAAGAGGCCAGGTTGTAGACGGCAGAGATGCCACGAACCGGCAAGCTACCCGCTGCCGAATAGGCCTCCGTGTATGTTGATACGGGAACCATGACCAGGTTCGCGGTGGAACCGAGACCCAAGTCTCGGAGAGTTTGCGACTCTTGGGCGACGGAAAGAGTTTCGCTGGGGAGGGGGGTTAAGATATGTTTGAGGTTGTAGGGTCGGTTGTCGCCTTCCATCTTCTGATCAAGCCAGGCCCGTACATCGTTTCGGATGCTTTGAGTGGGTGTAAAGCTAGATCGCACGGAGCTTCCGTCGAACAGGCGCACTTGTAGCCGGTATTCGGTTGGAGGTCCCCGAGAGACTATAGGTTTTGGCTCTTGGCGTTCACTCTTTACAACACCTTTGTCAATGGGCTTCTTAGATCCCATCGGTGCTTTGCCTTTAATGTCTTTATTGCTGGCTTCCTTGGGTGTTATGTGCTTTTGAGACGCAGAGACTGCTGGCTTTGCAGGTTCTGCAGCTTTCTTAGGTATTTGTTCAATCGGTAATCGTTTCTTGGTTGCAATTTCGCTCGCTTGTTTTGCGGATTTGCTGGCATTGGATGGTGCCTCAGGCTGGGGCTGGGGCGCGACAGATACCGGCGTATTATTAGTTGAAGCGGTAGGAGTGTCATTGCCTTGTAGTTGCTGCGTAGGATTGGGTGTCTGGTCATTTTCCAAAGCTGCAATCAATCGACCGCGGAAGTCATCTTTCGTGATATCTGGCCCGATGTATTCCTTCAGCGTGCCATTCCTGGAACGAAGTCAGCAAACCAACACCAACTTGCCCACAGGCGTTGAACGGTTGAGCGCACTTGATAAGGACAACAGTCGGAAACTTCGAGATCGGACAGAAAGAGGCCAGGAATCCAGCTTCCTGTGACCCCGCTGTCAAGCGCAATACAACTGCTTTGGCATTGAGTGCTTGCGCAACCTGCAGAGAGTCAGATACCGTCAGACATTCAATCTCAGAGTGCATGTACCTCATCATCACCAAAATAAGCATCCTCCCATTGAGAGCTCAACTCTTCGTCATCTGTATGTTCAAGTCCCAAGATCAGCAACATGCCATTTAATGCGGGGAGAACATCAGCGACCTCTAACAAAGCAAGTAACGGCTTTGGCATCTCTCACTGCAGCAGCAATGCCCTCCTGAAGGGATCCGTTGTAGAAAAGTGTCATGATCGCATTCCGATAAGGACTTAGAGGACATGAGAAGGCCAGTGCGGAGACAAGTATAGATTGGAGAAGCGTGGGCGGTCACGGTAACCCCCGATCCCGAAATTCCAATTGCCGTCGCATTTGCTGCAAGAAACGACAACGTTGACCCCGTCCAAACCTCAACCCACTCTTCACATTTGCTAAACTGTCGACATGCGGCCGATATTTTCTGCTTTGCAGAAGACATCCGTGAGGGTCTGGACACCGCCGACTCGGGCTATTCGGAACCCTCGTGTACCATCGAAGATCAATTCCATCTGCGCCAACTACCGCCTACCCCAATTCCGCCATATCTCGCAATCGCGCCAGCTGGCTGAGGGTCTGAACATTGTGGACCACCCGGCGAGGCTTGTCCGTGTTAATAAGAAACATGGACCTGGTCTGATCATCTTGGGTATGTCAATGTCCAATGCTACATATTTTTGAGAATACTATATTTTAGTAGCTAGGGGACAATTACTAATGTGTTGTTCTACATATCTATAGCTCTGATTCCTATCATCTCATTTATCCTGGGAACATGGCAGGTACAGCGCCTGGACTGGAAAACCAAACTGATGGCCAAATTCGAGGACCGTCTCGTGAAGCCTCCTCTGCCACTGCCGCCCCGAATCGACCCGGATGCCATTTCAGAATTCGACTACCGCCGCGTGTACGCTACCGGCCGTCTCCGCCATGACAAAGAAATGCTGGTTGGACCCCGCATGAACGAAGGAGAGGACGGTTTTATCGTGGTGACTCCCCTCGAGCGAGAGGGACAGAGCACCGTACTTGTGAACCGGGGTTGGATCTCAAGGAAATTGAAGGACCAAAAAGACCGACCTTTGGGTGTACTGGATGAAGAGGTGACCGTGGAGGGTCTGCTACGAGAGCCATGGAAGAAAAACATGTTCACACCGGATAACAAGCCGGATGAGGGAAAGTTCTACTTTCCCGATATCAATCAGATGGCAGAGAAGAGCGGGAGCCAGCCTGTTTGGATTGAGCAGACAATGGGTAAGGATGCTTGATTTTATTATCTTGCTAATGCATGGCTAACAATGATTTGCGTTTCCAGTGCCTGACCTCCTCGAATCTTATGATCGCGAGGCCAAGGGTATCCCGATTGGCCGCGCCGCAGAGGTGAATTTGAGAAACAATCATTCTCAATACATCTTCACCTGGTAAGTTGGATCCGTTGCGTGCTTTCCCTTCCCACTCGAAATTGTCGCTCATGCTCTACAGGTATGGCCTGTCTTTGGCCACGACCATCATGATGTGGATGGTTATACGGAAGAACCCCAACGAGGCACTGCGCCGAGTTCGCCAGAACCGAAACTGGTAGTGGGTAGTGGGATTCCAGCTTTACCTTAGCATAATTCATTGGCGTTGAAAGCGTTACTTTTCATGGAGAATCTTGTTCTGGGCATTCATGGAGGCATGGCCAATCTCATGTCTTGCTGAAGTTCTTTGGGTAAATGCTTCTGGGCGAGGGAAAACACTGTCGTCGAGTTGTTGATATGGCGTTGTCTGGAACAAGTCAGCAATTACTCTTATGACGTGGTTGGTTTCCAGGGGAACTGACCTTCTCAGCAATGTGGTGACATCGCTCTCATCAATGGTCTTCCGTCCTGCATGCTTTGAATACGCAGCCAAGTCTTGGCTTGCTTGTTCAAAGTACCAAGAGGACGCCTGCTCGATGGCGGCTAGCGTGGCCTTGTTGATTTTCGCTTTTGATCCAGCCCCCGAACGCGCGAAGCGAGTCGCTAGCTTTTTTACCACACCTGCAGGCAAGTTTGGGACAGGAATTCCATGTCGTGAAATCTTCTTTTGCTTGGCCTGGGTTGGGATAGCTTCATCTCGCAATCCACCCCCAACAATCCCAGGGCTCTCACTGGGGGATGCTGCGTGTGGGAAGTCGACTCCGAAACCAAAATCACCTCCAACGTCGTCATCATCATCGTCTGATGGAGCTGGGGGTGGCTCCGCGGTGGACAGTTCGAAGTCCTCCATATCGTTCATATCCCCGCCAGTGGGATCTTCAAGCGGAGCAGCCGCAGGAGATGGAAAGTTGAGGTCAAAATGGAAGCGGC